AAAAGATATTATCCACATCAAAACATGTAACTTTAATATTAAATACTACGTGTTTAAAAACAATTTTTATATAATGTTCAAAATGCATATAAGACAGATTAACAAGACCTTATTATCACATATGATAGGAACTTAAAATTATAACACATATAACAAGTAAATGTTATATAACATATACAAAAAAAAATTAGATGTGGGTTAAATATGATAACAACTTGGACGATATCGTTGTACCTCAATGAGTGAAAACCATTATTTTAGTCACTAAGCAAGGCCAAGGAATGAGTAGGAAGCCTCAAACATTAGAGAGTCCAACTAATAAGCAAGTCACAATGCCCCAATTAGGAACTGGGCAGAAGCTAAGTGAGTTGCATAAAATGGTGTACTCCCCGAGAATCTCTAATACAGAAGTGAGAGAAAGAAAGAAGAAAGGAACGCTGAAGAAAACAAATGTTCAAAGACAAGGGGGCAAACAACTCAACATCTACCTCTCACTCCATAAAAGAGAAATCTTGAGGCAGAAATGATGAGCACATAGTGAAGAAAGAAAAAAGCTGAAAAAAACAGAACTTAGTTTGAAGGAGCAGGAAGGAATTATGATTCACCAAGAAATGAACACCACAACCCAATCTATGGATGGCGGAAAGGCAGTTGTGTCTCAACAAGGCTGCCCAGCTCAATGAATATTCTAAGTCTTAATTGTCGATAGTTTGGGAATTCCTTAGAAATTAGGAAAGTAAGGTCTTTACTTCAAAGACAAAATCCCCAAGTGGCATTTTTATGGAAACGAAGAAAAAAGACCATGAATGAGATATCGATTGGGGTAGGATCTGTAGGAAAGGCCGGAAGGCTTCTAGTTTTATGGAAGCAGGGGGTGAAGTTACAAATCAAAGTCTACTCTAGCAATCACATTGATATATTAGTAGAGAAAGAAGAAAAGTCATGGAAATTAACTTGCATTTATGGTTGGCCAGAGCAGAGAAAGAAACACCAGACGTGGGAGCTACTTAAGAGTTTAATGTCATGGTCAGTCTACCATGGTTTGCAATGGGTGAATTCAATCTAGTACAAAGTTATGATGAAAAGAATGGGAAACATATAGTTGATGCAGTGGAACTGGAAATGGAGGGATTAAATAATGCCCTTGCAGACTGGGGTGTTGAGGACCTAGGTTACTATGGGAGAAGGTTCACCCGAGACAATAATCACAAGGATGAGACATATTTGGAAGAAAGATTGGATAAGATGGTGGCCACAAATTCATGGAGGAGCTTATATCCTAATATGCTAGGGTGTATGACTCGCTACGACACAACTCCTAACAATGGTCAAGTGTAATCAATGAAAGGGATTGCAATATAGTGGCACAAGTAATAAATATCGAAGCCACGGGTCTCTAGAGTTACTATTACTCAGCTTCAGTTCATTATCTTGCAAACCAGATTAATGATTGATCTACTAAACTACTCTACTAACCAAACTAAGGCTAAACTACTAATTACAGGTTGGGAACTCACTTAGGTATGATTCCTCCTAGCTCCTTAATTAGGTCCAAGTTGTAATTCCTTTTGGTTTTTTTACTGTTGATTACACTGCAGAAGATCCGAAAATAGCTTAGAATCTCTTAAGCCGAGCAAGCCCTCTTAGACAGAATACCCGGCGGGCTACTAACCTCTACCAGAGTACAAAGCTAAGGCAATACACAAAAATCTCCACTACTGGAATGAATTCCAGTACAAAGCAGTGAATTGACTGACTCTCGTACCATCAATTCCCTACTACCAATTGAGAAAGTTCTCTTAACCCAATCATATTCTATCTATCATAGGTTAAAGCAGAAATCAAAGGAAAGTGATCAGGATTCAATTGACTCAACAACCATACCTCAATTGATTAAAACCATTCAGTATAACATCCAAAGTTTCAAACAAGAAAAATCATAACACATGGAACTAGGGTTCCTCAAAACCTAAGTGAAGGGTGTGGAGTAGTGAAAATCGGGCGATTAGACTGTGAAATCAACATATCGAATTTGGCAAAATCAATAAGAGAAACAATTAGAAGAGCTAAATTCTCTCGTAAATTGGGATCGTGTTTGCAAGTTGGGGATTCCCCCAAAAGTTAAGTTGTTTGCTTGGAAGTGGATCGAAATATCCTACCTACAGGTGCACAAATCCTCGAACGAACAAAAAAAGGTAGTGAATGGGCCCTTTTGTGACATTAAGGAGACTGAAGAACATCTGTCCAGAGACTGTGGGTGGGTGAGAAGGGTTTGGAGACCAAATCCTCTAACTTCGATGTTCATACAAGGTGAGAATCTAACCTCTCCAGAATGCTTTTGTGAGATGCAAGAGTGGGAGAACGATGAGCAAATTGGTTGCATCCTGGTCTCCCTCTTGTTCATCTGGGACTAGAGAAATTGTCAGTTGTCGAAAAAAGAAAAATGGAGGAATGAGAGATCATGTGTAGGGCGAGGGGACGGGATACGGTGACAACCCCCTTGGGGGTTGTCAGATTCACAAGCAAGGGTATTTTGGGTATGAGAAAAAGGAATATATTAATTACCTTTTTTGTATTAATTATATTGGGAATTAAAAACCCATATTAAATACAATTTTTTTCTGAAATTTAAATCCTATACATTAATATCTCTATCTATCTCTCTCTCTCTCTCTTCCTTTCTCCAGCAGCCACTCCGCATTGATCGACAAACTTTTTCTCCGGCGAATTCTCTCCGGCAGACTCCCTCCGGCAACCTGAAAAAATGTATCAATGCGTTAAAAAGTGTACCAATCTATTAGCCTACTGGTAATTAATATACCAGTGCTAGTGGTACGCTACCAGTACGTTAAAAATGTACCAGTACTAGCGGTACCAGTAAAAAATGTACCAGTACTAGTGGTACGCTACCAGTAGAGAATAACACAACGCTACTAGCACTGATAGCGCTACCACTAGCATTGGTAGCGGTACCAGTAGCGAATAACAAAAAAAAACAAAAAAAAACAAAAAACAGATGATAGTGGTACCAGATGATAGGGGAGCCACTGGTATTGGTACTAGTGAGTAGTGGTAGCGTACCAATAGCGCTACCAGTGGTATTGGTACCAAAAGTGCTACCAGTGGTATTGGTACCGGTAGAGACTATCAGATCTGCTGCAGGGGAGGACAGCGGGGCAGCGGGGGGGGGGGGGGGGGGGGGGGGGGGGGGGGGGAGCTGGAAGGATCCGGCTCCGAAGACGATGAACCTGGCCTCGGTGACGGCGTTTCCGACGGCGGCGTGGAGCCGGCGGACGTGGCGCTCGAGCTCCGGCGAGATGGAGGTGCCGTCGGGGAAGGAGTAGCCCATCCGGTGCCAGCCGGAGACCACGAGGGCGCTCGCGGCGGCGCGTTTCCTCCAGAACGGCTCCAGAAACAGGGGATTGACGCTCATCCATGGCGGCGGAGAGAGGGGAGGAGAGATGGTGATTTCTACGGGAGAGAGGGAGGAGAGAGAGAGGGAGGATGGAGGAGTTAGGGTTTTTGTTCTTTTTATATGGTAGGGTGAATGATTGGGTGTGGTAAATTTTTATCCTTCCAAAAATATCATTCCTTTAATCTTAACCGTTAATTTAAAAATAGAAGAAAGAGACAGGAGAGAGAGCGTATCCAAGGGCTCGTCCCTGGGGCGAGTTGTTGGCTAGATGAATATCTAGACACATAGAAATTGAGGTTGGGAACCCGCCGGACAGTTGAGTCAAATGGACACCATCAAGCCAGAAGGAGGAACGCGATTTGGTGTGGTAATTAGATACAGAGGGAGTAATTTTTTCCTGGTGGCAGTCAGGCGCACTCGTCGGCAATGGGAACTTGATATCGCTGAAGCTCTGGCGGTGGATTTTGTAGTAGAGATGGGGTCTCAGCTTCATTTCATTTGAGGTGAAATTCAAATGGATTGTCAAGTGGTGGAATGGCTGCTTCTCGGCCAAACGCAAGTTTCGCAGGAGCTAGGCCAAGTCTGCGCATAAGTGAAGGAGAAGCCTTGTTCGTTGAGCTACTTCTATTGAAAATTTGTGGCCCGAGCCTATATTAAGTCGACCCGCTGTATGGCTCATATTGAGTGTGATTAAGAGGACGAAGAGATTTGGGTGGATAAACCACCATATTTTTTAGTTTCTCTGCCTAGAGAGGATGACTTTGTGATGATTTTACCAAATTAATGCAATGAAGTAGATGTATTATACAAAAAAACTAATGAGTTTATGCTAAATTCAAGAAATTATTATCTAGAATTTCGAAAATCCAATATAGTTTGTGATTACTCCCGGAAATCCAACATACTTTTGGACTGGGCCTGAGACAAAAGCCACATTGATAAGATAAAACGATAACTATAGTAACCAATAAAATACAACAAGGCATTATAAAAAAATAAAGGTTTAATACACTTGTATATCCAAAACTTTCACGATTGTGCCAATAATATCCAAATTTCCCGAAATACCACTTATATCCATGTTTTAAAGTTGTTCTTTGCCAAATCTATTCATTTCCCAATATATTTTTGGTTAAATACACTTGTAAATCCAAAACCACCGTTAAAGAATGTGAAGGAATTGGATATAAGTTGTATTTCAAAAAATTTAAATATTATTGGCACAACCGTAAAAGTTTTGAATATACAATTGTATTTAACCAAAAATAAAATACAACAAGACTAGAAAAAAACCAAACAATAGAAAGTCACCTTCCTTTTTGGCTCTGCCCTTTTTTCCTTTCTACTTCTTTTGATATGTTAGCTTTATTAATGAAAAGTTCCGCTTTTGCTTTCCCCTCCTTTACGTTAGTTCCAATATCCCAATTGCATATCCACAGGTACAATTTGCATATTCCAGAATCCCTTTTCCGCACCCGCGCACCGCACAAATTGAAATAAACAAACACGGCGTTATGTTTAAATTTTTCTAATAAAATATCTTATCCTACGTTTATATAAATAATACATAAATTAATGAAATTTTTTAAGAGCACGAACGAATGATTATCCCGCTTTTCCCAAAATTAGTTATTTACAGAAGTGTGCCGTTTTCCACCCATCGTCACTCGTGACTCGGCCTTTTCTCTTTGCTCTCTTTCCGTCGGTTTCCAGCTTCTGTCCCCAACTAATTTCCTCGCGCCTCCCTCTCTGCGTATATTCGGAATCGGTAAGGGATTGCGGTTGACGGAGGAACGGAGACTCTGAGAGCGGTAGCTCTTCAGCCGGAGAGTTTGAGGGCCGAATGGTAGCCAAAGGCGGCGGAATGAGCGGCGCGGCGATGGAAGGAGGTGGCGCTGCTGGTGCCGACGGTGGTGGAGGAATGGAGTTGAAGAAGATAAAGATTGGAGTCTGCGTGATGGAAAAGAAGGTGAAATGCGGATTCGAGGTTCTGTTTCCCTTTTCGTGCACTTATGAAATCTTTTCGTTTTCCCCTCCCCCAAGCATTTGATACAGAGGATGTAAAACTGTGAAGCTCCAGTTTCAATCGTGTTCTCGGAACAGAGCGTCATTGATCGTTTTGCTTGCTTGTTTGTTTGGTTAGGGGCTGCAATTGAGATAGTGGATTGCAGGTTTTCTTCTGACTCCTTCCTCCTTTTTCCATAGGTGTCTTCTGCTCCAATGAAACAGATTCTGGACAGGTTACAAGCGTTTGGCGAATTTGAGGTATGGATGATGTTCATTTCGTTTCGGTTTTCGCTTTGCCAATGGTGCTCTAGCTGTGCATTTGGCTTCATTGTTGATCGTTATAAACTGAGCCAGAGAGTTAATTTGAAGTTTGTGTGTTGTTGATCGTTTACTTAATCAATTACTTTGTTCCTTACCCATGGGGATTCTTCTTTCCCTGTTTTGAGCTTTGTAGGTTATACATTTTGGAGATAAGGCTATTCTTGAAGATCCAATCGAGAGGTACCTTTCTGTTTCCAGATACGTTCTTGGCTTCCATAATTGTTAATTTGCTTAAGGGTGCTGTTCGACCAAGTATTGGATTCCTTTTGTGATCAGCATTGAATTGTCATTGACGCCACGTTACAGAGATGAGTGATCAGTGGTTTACTCTCTTTTGGAAGAAATCCACAATCCAATCAGTTGTCACAGTCCATATTCATAAATGGCAGGTGGAATGTCAAGACATTGTAACCGGTTCTTAATTGATTAGAAGCACCTAACTGCCATTTTGTGACCATGTAATTTTTCTTCCCATGCTAGCCTTCTTCACTCCTGTCTGGTTATCTCTGCTAATCTCCTCTTTGAAAGAGATGTGTGTCAGTACCATAGGTGTTTTGTCAGGGACATTTGTTTCCTGGAAGGATGTCATTAGTATGCTTTTTCTGATTACCTTTCTGCGAGTGCAACCTGTGGCCTGGTAAAAATACGTGGTAGATTTCCGTATGTAATGAGGGTGACCTTCAAGTGTGAACAATTCGGGGCCTCGTAACGTGATCACTAATATATGTTGATCTATTTCAATATTTCAGGTGGCCTATATGTGACTGTTTAATTGCCTTCTACTCCAGTGGTTATCCCCTTGAAAAGGCAGAGGCATATGCTGCCTTAAGAAAGTAAGCTCATGATCCACTATCACCAACAATCAGCATATCTTTAAAAGTGTGAATTTGATTCCATACTTCAGCAATAGGCTGGCAGGTTATGTGAAATTCCATTTCAGTTGTGAATAATGAATTGGCAGTTTCTGGTTTTGCCCTGCATTGCCAAACTGAGCAGCGCAGTTGGTTCCGAGAATTTTAGAATGATATCTGATTTTTACTTGGATACAGAAACTGATCTCTAGAAGTTCATGTGTAGCAAGTTTGGTGACTGACACCTAGTACTTGATGGTGTTATGGATTTAAGTAACTGTTGTGTCTGATCTTGTTCTGCTGTGAAAAGTAGTATGTGATGATTTCCGAAATGTTTTGGATGATCAGGGAAGAACATTTACTTTTTTCTGGATAAAGGATAATCTGGAATGAACCTTAGATTGGCCAGTTTTGCTTCTGCTGTACTTTTTTGTGAGTTCCCGCTGTGACTTTTCTACTCCTAAACATGACAAAACATTGCTGGTTCTGTTTCATGTTGGTCTTCATTCTATCGATTTTTTCATGGAGAGTACTGACGTGTTTGACTGATCTTTCTTACCAACTTGATGGCCCGTTATTTGTTCTCTCCGGGGAACTTGTTTTATCTGGTAAGTTTCTTGTTGGCAAGCACATGCTATGTCCAGTTGGTATTTAGAGTAGCGAACTGCCAATATGTAGATGCTTACTAGCAACGTTACTTGTTTTTTACTTTGCTTATGTGGGTAGATTCAAATTTTCGGTAATGGGAGTTCCCTATGTCGAACATTTAGCTACACTAGGCACTGATGTTAACTATATATCCTCAGCATCCTTTGACAACTTACCTACTTGATTGAAGTGCTGCCTGAGAATCTAAAACATCTAATCATTGGTTTAATTTGAGCCCTAAACTTTTGGTGTTGCTCATTCACTGGCCTTATTTGTGATGATTTTTAGGCTTTACACAGGAGTGGTTTCTGTACTTGCATTACATTAATAATTCTCGACCTTGTGGTCTTGATTCAGGCCTTTCGTAATAAATGAATTGGAGCCGCAACACTTACTTCATGACCGAAGGAAAGTATATGAGGTAATTTCTCACCATAACGTAGATTGATATCGATTTTCTGAGTTTCTTGGCAACATTAGAAATCAATGATCTCAAAGTACTGATCTTGGGCTGTTCATAGAATTCTTTGACTTCTCAGGGCTTGTATCTTGTTTTAGGTACATCGGTATTCTGCTTTTTGGATGACATATATTCATTGACATACATCTTTGTTTCTTTCTTTTGTCATGTTTTTGGGGGACTGGTGCATCTCGATTTGTAATTGAAGCGTTTGGAAAGGTTTGGAATCCCTGTTCCTAGATATGCCTTTGTGAATAGAGGATTTCCATACCAAGAGCTTGAATACTTTGTTGAGGAAGAAGATTTTGTTGAGGTTCATGGTCAACGCTTCTGGAAGCCTTTTGTAGAAAAGCCAGTTCATGGTAGGCCTGTTTCGTTATGCAATCAATAAGTTATATAATGCTGTTACAACTTTCATAAATAATATGAAATTCTTCTTACGTTGGATCAAAAGACTAATTTTAGGATTGTGTATCCTGCTAATATTTAGTGATGATGCAATTGAAAGATCATAAAAATAAGCATGCCTGCTTGAAAGTATTTATTATTTTATCTTTGTTTTAGAATATAATTCTGTATTCTGTTAGATTGGCTAGAAAAATCTACGGACATCCTGCATTCCCTGCGAACTCAGCTTTCTTGTATATCAGTTGCATGTATACTTGGTGCTTCCGATTTCACATGTGATAACTTGAATTCATTCATCCAGGGGATGACCATAGTATCATGATATATTATCCCAGTTCTGCTGGTGGAGGCATGAAGGAACTTTTCAGGAAGGTATGCTTGTTTTTCTGCAACTATTGTTGTATAACTTGAATAAATGCTGAAACCTGGATGTGGCATATCGCAACCTGTGACTTTGATGTGGTAGCTCAAAATAGTTGAAATTTATTGATGTGCTTAGCCAGGGTGACTCCCTATATAACCGTAGCAATAAAAAGTAAAGTAGGACAGAAAGACAGTTTGTATGTGCTCTTCTTTCCTAAATTCCCTTCAAACTAATAGATAAATAAGTTGCATTGTTCAAAGACAATGCTTTAGGTATTCAAAGTTTGCAAATGCTGGTTATTGGTTTGCGATTTAGTTTCCCCAGCGTGAAGCAGGGGTCATAAACTATTGCATCATTTGATTCGCACATAAAGCACTCAAGTAACGTTATCTGGTTTACTTTCAGGTCGGAAACCGCTCCAGTGAGTTCCACCCAGACGTAAGAAGAGTAAGGCGTGAAGGATCATACATATACGAAGAGTTTATGCCAACTGGTGGAACAGATGTCAAGGTTGTTTCCCATTTCCTTCTCCTACAGTGTAGTGCTTATTGTATCGGTTTGAGTTTGGTATAGTTCGTCCTTCACCCCCATGTTCATCAAAACAAAGTGCAGATGATATATGATGCCTTTCTTCTCTCTCTTAACTTCATTAACTCTAATACTTTGGGCAAGTTTTTATTGTTCCAGAAGGCCGTATTTGTTTCCAGTTCAATGTTAATTGCTTAAGGTCTAGATCCAGGGACGATCCTAATCATTCATTTATTTTGGTTAGTTCCATTAAACATTATTTATGCATTGTTTTGCACAGTCATGGTTTATTTGTGGAGTTAGTCCTGTGTCTGCGTCTAGGTGTTCATGTTCTGTTACCAAACTGCTTTCCTTTGAAGTCAATACAAAAACTTGAGTTCTTATTGCTTGTTTCGGTGTTTCCTGCTATACTTCTGTGTATATTATGAACTTTTGATAATTTGCCAGGTATATACTGTTGGTCCTGAGTATGCACATGCTGAAGCGAGGAAGTCTCCAGTAGTTGATGGTGTTGTAATGAGAAATCATGATGGCAAGGAGGTAACCACTTTGTGATCTATACTTGTACCCACATGTTTATTTTGGTCTTTCCTTAACTTTTACTTGAAGTTACTTCAACGTGACTCATCCATACAAAGTCAACATGTTAATCGCATTCTTAACTCTATCCATTTCTCTTTATGGATGTGTAGTGACATGGAGTGTTTTTTTCCCCACAAAAGACATGGAGTCTTACTACTTTGCTTTTCTGGGTTTACCCTTAGGTTTGAGGATCTTTTGTTCTGTATTTTCTTACAGGTGAGATATCCGGTATTGTTGACACCTAACGAGAAGCAAATGTCACGAGAAGTTTGCCTTGCATTTAGGCAAGGGGTAAGTTTCTCATCTCGAGGCATCTTGTGCTAGCTTGCTTTTGTCTCTACACACTTGCCATCTCTTCCAGTTTCGGTGCCTGTTTGAAATGCAACTGCACTAGTTTATCTGCTTATGCTATTGGGCTACTTTAATGAGTCATAAAAGGCTTGTATGCAGTTACTGTTTCTATTTCCTTTTGATCATTGAGATAAATTGATAATTGCTATGAAGCAAGCACGCCTTTTCATGAGAATTCTTTAGAATCTTACTCTTGAATTGGGAAAGCTCCAGTTTTTTAAATAAGCAAATAAAATAGTAGGAAAGTATGGTGTTTTCAGAATATCACTTTTGATCTTTATTAAAGTTCTTTAGTGCTCACTGTTTTCCTGGTTGGAAATCATTGTTTCTATTTTTATCCATAAACTGGCCTTTTGCTAACGTTATCATATTGAGATAAATTGTGTTACAAGTTACTATATTTGATGGGATGATCTGTAATTTTGTACTTGTGGCTGCTACCTACTATTTGTAATGTTTTCCTGGCAGGTATGTGGATTTGATCTTCTGCGTTGTGAAGGACGTTCATATGTTTGTGATGTGAATGGGTGGAGTTTTGTGAAAAATTCTTACAAGTAATACTTAACATTCCCCACCACCCCTTCTTTTCCCCCTCGTTTTGTGTGCGTCTTAACTGAAGGACCGAACAGAAATGCAAATCCTCCTTGGCGCCTTTCATGTTGGGTGCCATAAGATAATGAATTTGGTTGACTCTTTTATCATAGTCCAGCTGGGGGGTTTTGCTCCTATAGCCTACATTGCTTTCATATGGGTACCACTTAATGTTATTTCGCATCAGAATAAGTGTGTACCTTAATCTGGTGCATTCTAACCCAGTTTAACTCTGACCCCTCGCCGTGGCAGAATTGTATTTATATTGCTTTCCTTACTCAACCGTTTCTGGTTCGCAAATTAAATGAACAATATCTTTCAGTATTGTTCAAGGTTCACTTTATTGTCTCCTTGCTTTATCCATTTTCCTTAATATTGCACCCATGGCGTCCTTATGTGCTAGTAAATAACCAAAGTCAGAGATTAGCTGTTTGGAGCCCAGAGTTATGAGAAAAGGAAAGAAGAATGCTTTCTACTTCACTGATACTTTATCTTGAAAATACAGATACTATGATGATGCTGCATGTGTCTTGAGGAAGATGTTCCTAGATGCTAAAGCCCCTCACTTATCAACTACAATTCCACCTACATTACCATGGAAAGTCAATGAACCAGCTCAACCTACTGAAGGACTAACTCGGCAAGGAAGTGGAATTATTGGATCATTTGGGCAGTCTGAGGAGCTTCGCTGCGTCATTGCTATTGTCCGGCAGTATGTTGCAATATCATTAAGGTTTTATTGCTTCATTAAGCGATTTTTCTATTTCTCATGTCCCATTGATATTGCATTTCATCAGTGGTGATAGAACTCCGAAGCAGAAGGTGAAGTTGAAGGTCACTGAGGAAAAGCTATTGAACTTGATGTTAAAGTACAATGGAGGGAGACCCAGGGTTGAGGTGATATCATTCAGCATTACTTTCTTGTTTTGTTTTGTTTTGTTTCTTGTCCTCTATTTTTATTGGTTACTAATCTTTTGTCTTTTACGTGCTTTTTCATGGTTATTTGTTGAAATTTCATTTTCTTGTTTGAAGACGAAATTGAAAAGTGCTATTCAGTTGCAAGACTTGTTGGATGCCACACGAATGCTTGTTCCTCGTAGTAGGTACTTTTCGTCCATTGCAGTAATTTCATTATTATATCATTGCCATTGTTTGTGCATTTTGTATTCAATTAATTACTGTCAAACAGTTCTGATTTGCGGGTGATTTTTCATTTTTATCTAGACAAGACCGAGAAAGTGACAGTGAGGCAGAAGACGTTGAGCATGCTGAAAAATTACGTCAAGTTAAAGCCGTGCTCGAGGAGGTGACCTTCTTTATCTCTTTTTTGGATAAACACCTTCTCTATCTTAAGTGAGTGATATCCTCACTAATTGAAATAACTCTATTCCGACACTCTAGTCTAATGTTTGTACCTTCACATTTCCCTATATTTGCATCCTTTTGTCACTTAGAACTCAAGTTTATGGTGGATACTTAGTCGTCTTGTGAAGTATCAATCTTAGTAAGGCTGTTATAAGAAGTTTAATCCTAGCACTAGCAGAGATTCATGCCCTGTCTTACGACTTCCCCAACTGAATACCAATGATGTTGGAATGATTTTTTGAGTAAAATTTTAACAAGGGAAGCATTACTCTTCAGTCAATTATATCAAAAGCTTCTTACTGCATTTTCTTTCTTTCTTTTCTCTTTTGTTTTTCCTTATTTTTACTGCAATAAGGTAATTACTTTGTTTCACTTTGCAAATGTTTCTTTATGCAGGGAGGTCATTTCTCCGGGATTTACAGGAAAGTCCAACTGAAGCCTTTAAAATGGATCAAAGTTCCAAAAAGTAATGGCGAAGGAGAGGAGGAACGGCCTGTTGAGGCTTTGATGGTTCTCAAGTACGGGGGTGTGCTTACCCATGCTGGCAGAAAGCAGGTAATGCTTATTTTATGCTTAAGATTGTCTGTCTGATGCACTTCGTAGCTTCCATTGTAAGCACTGCAGTACTTAGAAGTTAAGTGTAGGTAGATTGATAATGTCCACGCCCTAGATGCAAACCTTGGGTTCAACAATCACCCATCTAAAAAAAGTGCAGGAAGTCGGCTATGCCTTCTTTGTTGAACAGCTTATTTGCTTCTCCCTCCACCCCCTTCATCTTTCTCTTCTACAAATCTTTTTTTTCTTCTAATTTCTGTTCACAATTTCCTTTTGGCAGGCAGAAGAATTGGGTAGATATTTCAGAAACAATATGTATCCAGGTGAAGACAAAAGCCATTATCTTTTTATTAATACATTATTAAGTGCTCTATTTGTGAGATCTATTCGTCTTTCTCGGTTTCTTTTCTCCCTTTTCTCTTCAATTTTATGACAGATTAATATATCCTAATTAATTTGTCAATCTGGCTTCCCTATCCTTGTGAGGGATACTGTAGGTTGACCTGTGTGTTTGTATCTGGGCTGTGAATTCCGTGGTTTTTGTTTTTGGCTTGCAAGAGCCCTTGATGTTCATCATATATCATATCTGTTTAATTTCTCCATTATCACCCTATAGAATGTTGCTGTGATACATTTAGTTTTGTTGGATGGAAAATGGTGGGGTTGAAATGACTGTTCTTATTTCTCATGAGAAAATGAGTGAAACTGCAGGGGAAGGTACAGGCCTCCTCCGCCTTCACAGTACATATCGTCATGATCTTAAAATTTACAGCTCAGATGAAGGCCGTGTACAGGTATGTCTTGATGCTAAATGAAAGGGTTCCATCAAATTGCTCTATGGTTGTTTTGGTGTCATCTTGCTTGCTATTTGTTAGTCTATTGAATTTCGTGTATCCTTCCACCAATTATTCATTTTGCTGGTAGATGTCTGCTGCCGCGTTTGCAAAAGGGCTTCTTGATTTGGAAGGCCAGTTAACTCCAATCCTGGTCAGCAACTTACTTCAGATTCAGAATCATTAACAGAGGTGATAACTTGGTAGATTTTCTGATTTTATCTAATAAAGAAATTATCTCTAGGTTTCCCTTGTTAGCAAGGATTCCTCCATGTTGGATGGACTTGATGATGCTAGCATCGAGATGGAAGAAGCGAAGGTAAATTTGTGGCTTGAAATAAATTATGGCTGTTCTTTTTGTGCACTCTTCTTGTTGGCATCTGGTAGGGTCTGTAGTAAATAAACAATGTGATCCGCATGTATACAAGGGATCCCCTTGGTTGAAGTGATTCTTTGCTGTGCACTTGCTTAAGGGGGTTGGGAAGATAGGAATATTTGATTTATTTCGTCAACTTTGCAGGCTAGGCTGAATGAAATAATAACTTCAGGTGCTATGCCGGCTACTAGCAATAGCTCATCTGAATGCCCGTGGATGACAGACGGGGCTGGACTTCCTTCAAATGCATCTGAAGTTCTCCCAAAGATGGTAACTAATATGTATCGAGAATACTAGTCTATTTGCACATGGGTATCTGCATATATTGTCATGACCTTTTCTATGTAAAAAATTGATATTTCTTGTTTGCCTTCTCAAATCCCTAGTAAAGGTACAAAATACTCGATTAACTGAACCACTTTTTTTTTTTTTTAATAATAATAGAAAAGGAATCAATTGGATGGATTCAAAATTTTAGGAGTTTCAGATCTCTCACCACGATGGCGGATAATGTTCGAAGTTCATACGTTCTCTGTTTTGTCTTTCTAGTGTTTGAGCCTTATTGGTCTCAAATGTAGGATAAGTTTGCAAAGCATCTCACGGTATTTTCCTCTTGCTTTCTTTCTTGGTAGGCAAAGTTGACTAAGAAGGTGACTGAGCAAGTAAGGTTATTAGCCAAAGATGAAGATGAAGATCTTACTGAGGCAAGTGCCTATCATGTAGTTCTCCCATATGACCAAGCGAAGGCTCTTGGTAAAACGAACATTGATGTTGATCGAATTGCTGCTGGGTTACCCTGCGGCAGTGAAGGATTCTTGTTGATGTATGCTCGCTGGAGGAAACTTGAAAAGGACTTGTATAACGAACGTAAAGAGTAAGTTCTCTAATATTTGACTTGAATCCTTTGTTACTTCTATGGTCGGTGTAGGAGTAAGTGCTGCATTATGTGGATATGATCATAGGTTTCTTTTTCCTCGTTGAATTTATGATCATAGGTTTCATTCACTTCATTGAAATATATAATGGCAGACGAATCTTATTGCTCTTTGTGTGATAAATGTAACATAAGAGGGAGATCACATGGAATGAAATCCTGCATGACGATGCTGTTTTGACATAAGCATGGTAGTTAATCGTTCACTTAATTCATTTGTTTGCAGGCGTTTCGATATTACTCAAATTCCTGATGTTTATGACTCGTGCAAGTAAGTTACCTATTTTCCAATTTATGGGTATCACTTGTCATATTAGCCCATGTATGCAAATTTGAAGCTTACTTAATCTGGAACAATCCCTGGCTTAGTTATGCAGCCTAAAATCACATCCTTAGTTTCTTCTGTAAATTGGCAATATTCACTTGCTACACTGTTTCCTAACATTTTGCAACTCTTTTAGTAACGAAGTTAAGCACTGGAATTGTGCGTGGCCAGGGATTATCCTTCTCTATGTTATCATTATTTTCCTGTTCTAGGAAAACTAAAAATTGAAAGTGATTAACCTTTCAACAATAGATTATCATGTAGAAGACCTGCAGTTCATGTTGAAATTTCATGCTTGCAATTGCATCTGTGCCGTTATCGTTTCCTCCACTCAACCTGTACCTACTTTGCAGATATGATCTCTTGCACAATGCTCATCTTAATCTAGAAGGACTCGACGAACTCTTCAAAGTTGCTCAGGTAATTCGTTGAATCTGATCCTACTTATTCATTTTGTGAAGGGATGTCGGTTTGAGCCTTTCACTATCATCTTTGAAATTATGTGTAACGGCTTTATATGCTGTTTCAGTTGCTTGCAGATGGTGTGATCCCAAATGAGTATGGGATCAATCCAAAGCAGAAACTGAAGATTGGTTCCAAGGTGAGAGGTCCTTTCTCATAGCACCCTAGAGAAATTCCACTTTTGTCCCTTATTAGATGTCTCTCCACAGCGTGCTGTTAGCTATATTATATACTAGCTTGGACCCTGCCCTTTGGGCAGGCTAGTTAAAAAAAAATCAACCTTTGTTGAGTTTGCATTTAAATTTTTGTTTTTGTTTTGATAAGAGTGATAAGTTTAGTTTTGAGTTTGCATTTAAATATATCATTATTTTATTTGATTATTATAAACAAATAAGTGAATTCTGATTTCTGAATGAGTATCAGGAGTATGCATTTCACAATCATAAATTATATATGGTTTATTGACAAAGCAATAAATCATAATTTATGAGGAAAAACCAAAAATTGTATTTTATTGAAGTTTAATACTTACTTAGATCCAATGTCAAAAGATATAATCATAATTTGGGCTCTTCATAATACAAAAGTTTGGAAATAAAAATTTTAGAAAGTTGTCGAGAAAGATAGTTATCATGTTTCGAAAATGTTAAAAACAGGAAGGGGGAGAATCGGATACCGCCATAATTGTAGTTTTACTGAAACTTATCCATCAAATTAAGAGGGTGGCGTGGATGAGTTGGCAAATTATAATGGTTAAAAACAAATATTTTTATTTGGATGGGTAAAAACATTATTAGTGATAATTAGATGATAACTAATTTTTATAAATATTAATAAATTATTCCTTAATGCCTCAGACCCTCTCCTATATGTGATATCTTTCCACAATAAAAGCCAAATAAAAGACCTGCAAAGGATATTGGGGCGGTTATAAAAGAGAGAGAAAATAAGGGTTAAGTAAGAAGTTAACGGAAGAGTAGAATGAAACCGTTGTAGAGGAGAGAAAAATGAAAAGTAAATAAAACAACTAAAAAAACCCGAAAATTGCGGAGAGGCCTTGGTGGCTGACGTGGAGGGGGTCATTTTTTCAATCTGCTTTAATATTTTTAAAGATAAAGACTTGAGCACCTATTAGATGTCACCCGGTTACTATTTTGCTTCCCTTCCTTTCCCTGATTTATTGTATCTGAAACTCCATTTTGACAAAATTTTGCACGTGCCTTTATCTATGTTTGTCGAAATTTAGATTGCACGTCGGTTACTGGGTAAGATCCTGATTGACGTGAGGAATACACGGGAGGAAGCCATCAGTGTGGCTGAATTAAAGAGTGCTCAAGAGCAGGAGTCGTCAAGTTCTAGCAAGACTGAGAAGGAGAATTCTGATAATCAACCAAAGCTTTCTATAAAAAGTGAGGACACAAGACGAACTAGCACTGCCAGTGAAATTTCAATGGAGCAGGAAGATGATGATGACAAGGAGACAAAATACCGATTGGATCCGAAGTAAGTTGTAACTATTGATCTGAGACTTCAACTTACCCCAGGGTTCTTCCGTTTTCCTCTATCGACTAATTTCTCGGTAACACATTCATCATTTTTTTGTTATCAGATATGCTAATGTGAAAACACCAGATCGCCATCTTCGGACGCGCCTGTACTTTACTTCAGTAAGTAACATGACCCTGTACCACATAAACCTACCCCTTATTATTCATGCACAGTTTACAAGCTATTGATCGCCTTCTTATGCATGTATGTTTCAGGAGTCACATATTCATTCGCTTATGAATGTTCTCCGGTACTGTAACCTCGACGAGTCTCTTCAAGACGAAGATAGTCTGGTCTGCGACAGTGCCTTGGAGAGATTGCACAATACCAAGGAGCTTGACTACATGAGCTATATCGTGTTGAGGATGTTCGAGAACACCGAGGTAAAACAGCTAACGCTATTCTGTGCTCTCTCTTTGAGCCTATTGGAAAGAAACCAACCTCCTAGTACATTCACTTCCGAACTCCGAACTTCCCTTTGGTAAAGGTAATATTTGTGTGCTTATCGACGCCCTACTTATACTTTAAACTGCAGGTTGCCTTGGAAGACCCGAAAAGGTTCCGAATAGAAATGACATTCAGCCGTGGTGCAGATTTGTCCCCATTGGAGGTACTATGGCCTCTTCACTTCACTGGTTAACTAATAGCTTTCGATGAAGTGGATGATGCGTTAACAAGGTCGGTCGATTATCTCTTTCAACTAACATCGGTTATTTTACGATCAGGGAAACGACGTGGAGGCAACATCTTTACATCGAGAGCACACACTGCCGATAATGGGTCCAGAACGGCTACAAGAGGTGGGATCATACCTTACCTTAGAGAAGATGGAGAAGATGATTCGGCCGTTCGCAATGCCCCCAGAAGATTTCCCCCCGCCGGCCATTCCAGCAGGTTTCACAGGCTACTTCTCCAAAAGCGCCGCCGTGCTGGAGCGCCTCGTTAATCTCTGGCGGTTCAACAAGCAAGAGAAGCAACACGCTGGTGCCAATGGCAAGTAACTGATGAGTTTTGTTACTGTTGTTACTTCTAATTCTAATGTGTTTCTCTTTTCGAATTTTGTCAATGAAAGACATTCTTTCTGAGTTTCTGTCAGACTATAAATAAATCAAGTTTTAGGCCCATAAATAAATAAAAAATCATTCAGCTTTTAACTGGGTAGAAAAAACCCATACCCCTAGTAAATAAATTTACCTTTGTAAGATAAATATCAATAGGTAGTAAGAACATTAAAAAATATACAATTACAGAGTAGTAGCCCCTCAGTAACTTGGTCTAGGAAGAAAGTCTATTCAACAAGTCCACAACCTCAGCCATGGTTGGCCTGTCTGCATTTGTTTCATTGCAACACTTGCAAGCAATGCTGAAATACTCCTTCACTTTCTCTTCACTCAACAACCCTTTCTCTTTCTCTTTCTCGGGCATGCTCCCGTCCAACATCTCCTCGTAACGATTGTGGGCCATCATCTTCCGAGCCCACTCAATCAAGCCCATCTCCTTGCCGTTGAACACCATCGGCAAGTTGGGCCTCTCCCCAGTGGCAATCTCAAACATGAGTATCCCGAAACTGTAAACATCCGCCTTCACCGTCGCCGCCATCACGCCGTCCTTGTACTCCGGCGGCATGTACCCCATCGTCCCGGCGACCTGTGTGGACACGTGGGAATGCGACGCGTCGACCGTCCGCGCGAGCCCGAAATCAGCGATATGGGCCTCGAAGTCCAAGTCCAGCAGCACATTGCTGGCCTTGATGTCCCTATGGATAATGGCGGTGTCGAGCCCATGTAAATACATTAGCCCATTCGCCACGCCGCGAACGACCTTGTTCCTCGTCTCCCAAGATAACGGCAGCAGCTTGACGGACGCTACGGAGTCGTCGGACCGTTCCTTGCTGACGGGGGAGTACGTGTCGTGCAGCCATTGGTCCAGGCTGCCCCGCTCCAGGAACTCGTAAATCAGGACCCGATCCGACCCGGAGGCGCAGTAGCCGAGCATCTTGACGATGTTCCGGTGGCGGAGCTTCCCGAGAGTCTCCATCTCTGCCCGGAACTCCCGAAACCCTTGGAAGGCGTCCGGATCGAGCTTCTTGATCGCGACGGTGACTCCGTCGGAGAGGCTGGCTTTGTACACATAGCCGAAGCTGCCGTCGCCGATGATGAGATCGGAGGAGAAGTTCTTGGTGGCGAGCTTCAGCTCCTCCATGGAGACCCGGTTCAGACTCGGGTCAAAGGAGGCGCTCTCGTCGATTGTGACCGAGGAGAGTTCGCCGCCGCGGCCGGCCGTGGCCGGCGGTACGGAACGGACGGCTCGGGTTTGTGGGATGTGATGGTGGTGGGTGCGACGGCGGCGTTTCAGGGATTTACAGAGGAAGTAAAAGAATCCGAAGATTAGGGTTATCAAGAAGAAACTGACGACGGCGGCGACGATTGAGAGGAAGATGGAGTTCATTGTGGTGGTGGCGGGGAGAGAGAAAAGTGAGAGTGAGGAAGAATTGATGGAAGGTGGTGGAGACGGGGATTGGTAATTGGGGTCGCAACGCCATTATTGGAGGGGAAAGGGAAAGGAAGTAGGGGGAGGAATTTTCAAGGAAGAAGATGAAGTCGTTGATGAAGTCATGAAGTTGGCGGCGAGTCAACGGTTGCGAGAGGGTTGACTGGGAAAAGGGCGGGATCGTCTAGGAGTGAAGTGCACGGTGGGGTTGATCGATCAGCCGATCTGGGGACTCCGATGCTTGACACTTGGAATGCGTACAGGCTGGACAATCTTAGCCGTCCAGAAGTTGCATTCAGACACTTGGAGACGAAGATTCTTGCTAAGGTGATTTTCATTTTCTAATAGAGAGATGGCAAAGAAGTGGAAGGTTGTTTGTCGGGCAAGCCAAAGAGATGTCTTTTCAACATGACTACTGTAGATGATGTTATTTAATTAAGTTAAGCTATTATTGTTCCCTAACTTTTGACATTCAACCCAATTTGGATTTAGCATGGGAAAAACAATTAGTTATGTGGTTAGTCAATCATATTACACCGATCAACAAGGGAACTGATAATTTAGTTTGACTAGATTACAAAGTTTTTTTCTCTTTAAAACAAAAATCCTAATGCGAACATTCAAAGTTACCACGAAATAAGAGATACCACGAAATAAGAGAACTTAAGACATATAAAGTATATTTACAATGAGAAATTGGTAAATAAATCCTTTGATTTTTGAAGGACAAGGGAACCTATGGACTAATCATTCATGTAATAGCAGGAGACATGTTCCCTTGTCCAATGACATCAACACCTACAACTCTCCCAAGCCTTCTTGTAGGGGCTCAGCAAACTGCTTTAGCTGCCAGTTCACCGATGGTTGTTCCGGCAATGTAGCCACCGGACCATGCATTCTGCAAAAAAAAAAAAAAACGATAATCAAAGGAGATGATTGATTATCAGAACCTAGGTGGAGAACATGAAAAAAGTCGAGGGGAGGAAACGAGGATTCTATCTTAGCCTACAAGACAGTATGCTTGCAACTTTGTGTCATGGATTACTCACCTGAAAGTTAAAACCACCAGTCACCCCATCGACATTCAATACCTGCACAAGGCAAGTGAGAAACCCTATCGATCTGAATTATTCATTAGCGAAAGACAGATCGATTTGCTGCTAAAGTGCAAACATACCTCTCCAGCAAAGAAGAGATTTGGGCGCATCTTGCTTTCCATTGTCTTCAAAGAAATCTTGAAGTAGAAACGTACAGAGAGTTAAGGCATATTTCACATACCAAGAAGAGGCTAATGTAGAGAGTTAGTATTGAGGCAAGGATGAGGTGAGGACCTCGGATAAAGGAACACCTCCAGCAGTGACAAATTCGTCCTTGTACTGACCCTGTATGGAGGAGAAAATGTATTGGCTTTTGATAACATTGCATGGACATGAACTATGAGAAAATGGAGCTACAAGGGTTTATGTGTGGTATCTGACCTTTCCTACTACTTCAAATGCGCAATGCTTCAACAGATATGCTACAGAATTTAAGGAATTATTTGATACGGATGCCCACAAGGTATCACAATTCAGACCCTGTATAAAAGTAAGATTATTCTTCATAAATACTTGGATGATGAAAGAACAAACATTCACATTCAAGAATTTCTTTGGATCGACGAAATAACCTCACGATCGAGCATATATTTCCAAAATCTCTTCACAATCCCGAATTCTGATGGGCAGGAATTAAGCACTTTTTGTTTCTGCAAACCCAGTAAACTGATATAAATAAATAAGCTTTCCTCTCAGTAAACTGATTTTAGGTATAGTACCTACGAGTATGGAAATTCTCATTATGTATTATGTAAGGCCAGCAGATAGTAACAAAGTGGACGATCATATTTTACCGCAAATTTCTGCTTTTGTCGACTAAGGATAGACTTCATATCCTCAATGTGCAGATCAGGTACAAAATCCACCATAAGCAGCGCTGCATCCAAACACTAATGAATAGTAAGACACAAAAGGAAAGTGAGGATGTGATGCAGAAGACAAAGCCAGGAAATAAAACTCCTCAGCACCTTTGTAGCCTGCTCTGAACAGATCCCGAGCCCCCCATGCAGACAGTCGAAGAATTACAGGACCACTGAGTCCCCAGTGTGTAACCAGCATTGGGCCTAGCTGAAACAATCTAAACTTTAGTTATTTATAGAGTCCCAGACAGAATGTCGTCATATAACAGCAAGAAATGCATGCCTGCGTAAGGTGTGGGATATTCTTCTTGTCACTTTCCAGTATTAAGGACGCTTCAACCTTAAGAAATGTGACCTGAGGAGAAAAGTGAGAATTGGAACCCCAAAATTAGAGCGTTAGATAAGGAAATCCCCAAGATAAATAGTCAATACTTGCAGTGAATTGAACCATAAAAGTAGAGGACAATGAAGCACAATCCACTCAGATTTTATTCAAATCTCCATAATTACTCTATGCTTAAAAAAAACCCTATTACCAGTAAATAGGGCAAAACATTTTCCCAGGGTGACAAGAAAAAAGAAAAAAGAAAAAAGAACTAAGAACATATTTAGCTTATTATCTGTTTGGATAATGGAAATGACTTATTTGAAGGCACTGAAACGTCAAACACAACCAAGCACCATACGTCTTTGCTCGCATGGACAACCAATAATTTATGAAGTTCCAGATATTGATCTTGCATGATTTGGAGAAAACTTTACCCCTGACAACTCTGACAGTAGTGGATCCTTAATCTTGAAAGTAAATAAGCTTGGGACTCCATCTACAATTGAATGACCAAGCTGAACTGCAAGTTCATAACCCTTCAAGACAAGTAAACAAATTCAGGAACTTATATTACAAGGACAGTAACATAAGGAAGCCATCAATTCATCCAGCAGTACCTGACGGCTACCGCCACTTGCAATCAGTAAATAGTCAGCTTCTAAATACTCAAGGAACTCAACACTACGTTTTTCAACCTTCAGAATAAACTTTCCTTGGACTCCAGCAGATACACTAGTAACAGTTTTTCCTGTCTGCAGACAAACTGATACAGGCACTAGGATTCAACATGCATCATTTTGAAGGACTCAAAGCATTGAAAATGCAGATAAAAGAATTCTCAAAAGCATAGGCACAGGGAGATATGAACAGCTTAGTTTGGCAGAGGAAACAATTTCCTCAAGAATTTCCCCACAATTAAAGTTAGCTGTAAAAACTGCCACAAAAACCACATGGATATATACATTCTCAGCCAAGAACCAAGATCATCTATAAAAAAACATACCTCCCCTTTCTCTTGCCTCAGACAGAAGACAATCAACTATTGAGGATGAATTGTTGGTGATAGGAAACACTCTGCCATCTTCCTCAATCTGAGAAAGATGAGCACCAATCAATGCCCAATGCCCATTGTAAGGAAGAAATGGAAAACCAAATTTACTGAAGGACATAATATACGAACTACCATTCGTAGACAACAATAGTAAAATTAGTTACAATGAAGAATCAAAACCTTCAGTGCCACCCCATGATCTGTAAACCACGACATGGTGTCTCCTGGGCCATGAGTGTTGAAGAAAGACCCTCTTAGCTCTCTATGGCCTCTAGGATAATGTTCGGCCAAAATCTACAAACCAATACCTTCAGTCAGCAAATTCTAAAAATACAACCCATGTGAAGTGAATCCAATCACAACGAGCCTTCAAAATATACTTTAGTAGCTCTTCTAGAATTGCAAATCTGCAATCTGCAGCTTGAAGGATTTCCTAGATATCGAGATTACAATTTAATTCAGTGATACCGATCTAATCAAACAGAGGATTGCATCAATAGAATCAATAATGGTAGATTCTACAACGCAATTGAAGAAGCAGCAGTTTCCTTCAAACGAAAATACGAAATCACTTCACAGTCTTCTCCGTACCAAACAAACTAGTTCTGAGTAATGACTAAACCGAATTTGCTAAAGATAGGCATTAGGCACAATTCTCCTCACCTTGGTGTCCGGACAATGCCCGTTCGTGACATTGCATCTTCCTCCTCCAGATATTTTCACCTTCAAGAGCAGCCATTCCTCAATTCAACAGACCAAGTCCAAGAAATTAAATATCAAAGCGAAATGAATGAAGGGAATAGGAACCTTGGATAGAAGCTTTCCTTTCTCCACAACTAGAACATTCAGATGAGGCGCCAAGGACTTAGCTCTAATGGCTCCATACACTCCAGCTGCTCCACCACCAACCACCACTAGCAACACTCCGTTGGACTACGCCGCGTCAAGAGTGCAGTCAATGCACAACAAGATAAGAAGCTGCAAACGACGGAAACGAAGCAGAACCAGAGAGCAATCTGTTTCACCTTTTCGGCTGATTGCGGTGAAGGAGTTGCTGCGCAGGTATACGCGCGTTTACTGGGAGGAACTGGACGAAGATGACCGAAACTACAACGACGAGCAACGGTCGCCGTCGAAGTCGAAGAAGACAGACTTTCGAATTGGAGGAGGAAGAAGCTTGCTAAACCGGATTTCAAGCTCATGGAGGGGACTGCAAATGTGTACTACTACTAGCGCTGTTTTGAATTTTGATTAGTTCACTGCCGTCTTCATAGCCTGGGTTATCGATTGAAGTTCAGTTTTCTGACGGTCTTCACTCTTTACCTGTGATAAACCCAGCCGACGGCCGTTCCGGGTCGGGTTGAAAATAAAAGAAAGATACTAACGGCGCCGTTCCATGACTAAATAAATACAAAACTGAACTTCTATTTTACACCGAGAAATAGAAAAAGAGAAGGCGGAAATCCGGAAACAAAAGAATCACCCGCCATTCATCAGCTTGGCGCCGAAATTTAACTCTCGCGAGTTGTTGCGCCATCCGACGAACTGATGCTTACTGTGTGGTTTCTGGGTTGTAACATCGAACATTCACAATCGGTTGGATGAAAACAGGTTAGTTTTAGCATGTTGCGTGTTTGGACTTGAGGTTTTTGGCATTGTACGTCCAGAGGAACTTTACGAACTGTGCACGACAGGTGTTCGACAAAATTCCTGATGTGCATTTTTCCCAGTGGAATGTGCCTGTGAGTGAATGCAGTAACTGAAGGTTGATTGCGAATGCGTCTTTGAGTTTCAATGACATGCTGGTTTGAGGCTTGATCTGGATGGGTGAATTCTGGGTAACTGCAGGTTGATTCATTAGGTCAAGAGCAATGGTTGATGGTGGATATAATGTAAAAGGTTGTTGCACTTGCGGCAGGATGCATACATATGGCCCCGGGGATCATACAGTTTAAGACTAAAGCTAATGGTTTTTATGCGGCAGTGATGGTTGGTGGGTTCGTGATGTATAGCTATGTGGGAAAACCAATTAAGTGCTTGAGGAATATGCAGGGGGGAGATGGACTTAGTCCTCATGCAATTGTTTCACTTGGGGTTCTGATGGCCTGTACTCATACTGGATTGCAACAGGAAGATCACTTGAGTATGGAATTGAGCCATAGAATGAGCACTATACTACTGGTGTTTTGCTTTATGCCATATGGAGATATCAACTGAACCAGTACAGAGAAACGTCGAAACCCACGACTGCCTCTATCAGAGCAATTGTCAATATTCACAAGCATGGGAAGCTTGTGGAACTTGCTGCGAAACCCAGGTCATCTTGCATGTTTATCTCCTTGCATGTTTCTCTGTTTTCATTCTCTGCTTATTTATCCTCAAGGAAGAACAGAAAACTGGTGGAGTATGAAGTTGAAGCTCAGCGATAGACTGTAATTCTGAAGTTCAATACTGTAATCCATAATGTTCTGCTCTCAGAGCCATTCCGGTGATATGTGTTTCGTGTTACAAACTCAACAAGAGGAGGATATACAAGGTATGTATAAAAGGAAGTACTGCTTTAAACTTACTAGCAAGTGAGAAGCTAAGCTATTTACTCTCTACCTTACAAGGAAACAGAAAAAGGGAAGATTGGCAGGAAAGGAAGAACGAAGGAGAAAACTACGTTGAATTTCTTAACTTGGAAGTAACAGTTGCTGAAGTGCTGGAAACCTCTGATATATACTTCTTCATTTGTGATGTTAGCAAAGTTCGCAGACAGCCCGAAGATAGTTGCACATAACATGAAGTTGAATGTCAACAATTGAGACAGAAACCTTGTGTGTTTAGGTTAACCATTGGATGAAGGACTCCTACTACATGGCTCCATCAACACTCTGGTCATCCATCAACCACGAGCTACGGCGCAAGCGTTGCTTTCTCTCAACAGACAGTCCTCAGTCGATGCAAGAGATGGCCAGCCCATTACTACTCTGAAGGCGGTTGCATAATATTCTTTGCACCTAGCAGATGGTCCAGCCACAACAGAGGAAAGAAGCATGGTCAGAGGATAAGCAGGCTGTCACAGACTTGAAACAAGAAACAGAGATGGGGGCATGGGGCCAAAGGTACTATTATTAAACTAACCAACCTTTTCCAGCCGAGGGAACTACAACAACATTCATACTTGCGTTATTTGGTGGCAGATACTGCAAGGTGAGAGGATTGAGCATCCCATTCAAAGGATTTTGAGAACATACGAGGATGTCACTCATTCCTGTCTCTTCCTCCAACCTCTCCTTCAGTTCCCCCACCTCAGTTCCCTTGAAAGAAAAGGTACTCCCTTCTTCATCTTTATCAACTTGTCCTTTCTCATTTGCCACTACGTACTTGATCACCCTGCCTTCATTTTTCGCTGGCATCACAAACGTATCATCAGACTGCAACAGAAACAAAAACCAGAAGCACCCATATGTAAATGATCAGAAACCCATCTGCAAAGTTCCATTCTTTTTAGGATTAATACTTCTCGGAATGATATTTGTGGCATGAAGTTTTACGTTGGTGTTTAATTGATTATTAGATGAAAAGTTACACGAATGTCATTAGAACACATAATTTTGATCACAAATCCATTTTCTCACATAGCAGCATTAAGGTTTTTTTTTTTTTTTTGACAAACCTCCATTCTTGACAGGGAAGGTTTGGGTCCAAACGACGGAGGAGGAGGCTGGAGAGAGGCTTCGAAAGACCGGCCACCAGGGCCCTGCGGCGGTCGGTGATCGGAAGATTGTTGCTGCGGTGGCGGTCTTAGCTCCATCACATCAACATCCCACAGAATCCAATCCTGGGTTGCAGTTCTATGAGGGATGTCGTGGGTGACATGATTCCTCCAAGGAGGGACGCCGCCGTTGGCGCGAAGGTACTGGCCGTGGCGGGTTTTCAGGCGAACTTGAACGCCTTCTCTAATGGGCTCCCACTCGACGGAGGTGTCAAGGCGCGGGGGTGTCGTCTGAATCACTTTTTTCCCGGTCATCCCGAGGAGGAACGGCGTGGAGGAGGCGGTCAGGTACTTGCTGTAGCAGCTTTGTAACCGTATGGCCTGGTATCCTTCCACAATCTCCACCGTCCATCGGGCGTTCTTCGACATCCCGTTCCGATCCTGGCTCACCCCTTCCTGATCGTCGTCGGCGAGGAGATACTTGTCGTGGTGGCTTCGGAGCCGGATCACCCTCGCTTTCTCGAATAGCTCCATTTTACATGTGCGACGATAATGATTCAGAGATTAATGGTTTCTTTGCTGCAGAATGCGAGATGGGGAAAATGGAGGGAACTTTTTGGCCGGCGGTTGGAAGAATCGGAGGAATGAAGATGCAATATTGATAATTTTCGTAGGGATAAACTTTCTGTTTTTATTTTGTCTATTTACTGTGTTTTTTTGTACTGCGCTACATTTTAGATTTACCGTGAATACTTTGGCATGTGACATGTCTTTTTACAAGGATTGAAAATCATTGTATTGCAGCATTAGAAACAATTTTGTAAGCTCAACATTGTTTTGAGAGAAAAGAAATTGGGCAGATCATCATGATCAAGAAGAGAACAAACCAAGCATTTTGAAATCTTATATTGGAAAAGTTAGTGGCAGTGGCGGAGGGAGGATTTGAAACTACCTCTGTCCTCTTTTCATATTATAAATATATAAATATATAATGAATTTAAATTAATAATATCTAAATAATTTATTTTCACATATAAAAAATAACGATTAATACAATCGACATATTCATAAACAACCATGATGAGTTTTCATATTCTTAAAGAAACACAAAATATACTCTTAAGTAAGTCATTTCCAATGGATCCCACTAAACAATCATTTAGCAATCTGGTTGTGAATTCGACTTCAGAGTTCGTTCTTTATATATCTCAAAACTGGAAATATTTTATCTATACTTGTCGTCAAAACTAGTGGAATCGAAGCTATCACTGAACTACTTCAAGATTGATGGGAAAATAATCGAATAGGCATATGAAGAAAAGAGATATATTCCAATTTAGATTTTGTTTATAGTATAATAAATTAATTTAATGTCAATTTATAATCAAGTAATGAATTGTGATATAGTGACAAAACACGTTGTACTAGGTGTCGTGTTCCATCCTTAACATAAACATATATGGAGTATTTTTGTTCCTCCCAAAATTTACCCCTGTCCCGGGACAATGCCAAACTAGGTTGGCTCCGCCTATGGTTAGTGGTAAGGTATTTTGTTAAAATTGTCGTTAAATCGTGGTCCATTCCTATTGCTAAAATTGCCAATCAATTTAGGTCTGGTATCCAGTATTTTCGGTCCGATTGACCATTACGGTTTTTAAAATTATGAGAATATATTTGGAATCAAATAGGCAATAAGTTCATCGTTAAATAATGTATGATAGGATATATTGAAAGAAATTTGTTGACCACTATAAACACTGATGAGTGTGTTTCACAGTTTTTTCAAAATATAAAAACACTTCATGTAATTTTATATAGTTGGATTTTATCTTATTGAAGATTTTTTTTATCAGCCTTTTGATTAAATCTTGAAAAATAACACATTTAAATAAAATTCTGGGTCCTGTTGACAAAAATCTTTACATATAGACGAACTACCATAGACTTGACGTGTACATCTTGCACAGGTATATTGATTTCACCTGAGTTTTCTCCACTTGAAACTCCTAGCTATAGCTTGCAGTTTTGAGAAAACAATGCTAGCTAGCTAGCAAGTTGAAATTTATTATCTTCCAATTCAGAAGTTCAAATCACGAAGTCAAACGATAGAATGCTGAAGGCGCTCAGTTTCCCTCGTGCAACGCCTGGTTATTATGACAGTAGTAGTAGTAATGAAACCCTAGTAGTAGCAACCTACGATCCCAACCTTGACAACGTTGCCGTTGCTACTTCATCATCATCGTCGTCATTGGTTGGTTCGGTCACAATATGCAATGGACCGTCTTCATCGACTGCGGTCTCGACCAACATTGTTCCCGGCGAATGTCTACTGGTAATATACTAATATAACTTACATACCACGTCGTGTTGATAAATAAAGCCATGCGTTGATAAATAAAGCCATGCATGTAATCAGTGGCGGAGCCAGGTTGTAAAACTAGGTGTGTCCTTTTATTAAAATATAAATATGTATATAAATGATTATTTAATAATTAAAATTAAAATTGAATGGAAACTAGCGGATTAGAAAAGAGAGAGCCGCCCTCTAGCAGAGGCTTCTGCTTAGACTTCATAATTCTTGGACAAAATTGAATAGGAAAATTGAGAAAAAAGAATCAAATAGAGATTTATTTCAATGGCAGATTTCATTTATAGCGTATAAATTAATTTTATATCAATCAAATAACAAAACTTGAGCTTCCTTGTAATGGTAAAATACTTTTTATACTATATCGGTATGACGAATTTGAATATTTTATTCCTTACATAAATATATATGGGAATGTATTAATTTTTTATCAAAATTTACATGTGTCCTGGGACACATCCCAAACCATCTCCCTCCGCCTACGGGGTCGTTTGGAAGTTGCGATTATTAAATAGATGTATTGTTGAGAATGGATGTATAATATTATACATGTATTGTCGAATTTGATGCATTGTAGAACACAACGTTTGGTATGTGTGATTGTGTATGTCGCATAAGCTAAAAGCTGAGACAAAACAATCTCAACTCAACTATCTCAACAATCACAACTAAAAGTTGAGATATAACAATATCTCAAAATGAGTGATAGTTTTTGTCACATCACAGAAACAATCCAATGTATTGTTTCTGCTAAAAAACAAAAAAAAACGATGCATTGTAAACAATACATGCATAATGACAATCTCAACAAAACAATCACAACTTCCAAAAGACCCTAATGTACGTACGTAACTCCTTACTATTTTGATTCTTCCTTGTGGCTGTACGTAGGTAAGCAATCCCAAAAATGGAAAGCAAGCGATGGTGAGAATCATAAACCTCAATTTCTTCAATAATTTATAATTTAACTACATTTTATCATATTATGGTTTCTTTCTTGGTCTTTCAATGAAAAGAACGAATATTTTTAATGTTTTTCACATAAATTACATATCCATTGGGTCGACCTGCCCCGACCCTCGCCCCGTGATAAATTACCCGACCTGCCATGGGGCGGGTATGGGTATCAAGATACACGCCCCGGACATGCCCCATTTCCATTCCTATGGACAATGTTATTAGTGTCCTCATTGTACTAACAATTGTTACCGCTAAACTGTGTGTGACTTCAGGTGATGGCGGCGACGACATGTAGTCTGTCAACATCCAAAACAAGAGGAATTTTACTATGCTATATAGCATTGGTATTAAAGTTGTAAAGTTGTACCATAACATAATGGTACAAATTCCTTTATGATACAATTTGAACTTATACATTTAACCTTATGGTACAACTTTAAATTGTACATTAAAGCACCCATACTTTAAAGCATAGTAGAATTGCCTCCAAAACAAAATGAGCAGCCATCAGGCGAATACGCTGTTGGTACATTGTCGATCAAAGGATGACGATCTGGGAATTCATTATCTCAAATTCAAAATACCACTTACAAGTGGGGTTTCACCCCAATTCCACGGGCGACGCTCTTCTGGTGCTATTTGGCCCCGTCCGGCGGTGCTCGCCATGCTGCTTTTGAAGCTTATAACCATGGAATGGGTGATCAAGGGATGGATTTTCCTACTGTTTGGATAGTTAGAGAAGATGGAGTTTATCGAAGGCGTCTTTATCTAAGTGCACGATTCCGTGATGTTTTGGTTCACCGTTGGCAATCAGGAAGGGTGATGGATAATGGATTTTATGCTACCACAATTTGAAATTAAACCTGTTATGATCCTACAAATTTGAAGAGGGAGATCATATAAAGAGGATAGAAAGATTAATAAGCGTTGTTTCTAAAATGGGAGAAATATGAGCACTTTATAATTCTAGATCTCCAGCATCTCCCATCCTATCATCATCATAGTTCATTTAGATATTATTTCTAGAAGACTGAACTTGCTCATCTTTTAGTATTTAAATCATTAGTTCGTAGATTTAGATATTACTTCCGAATTTTTGGTATGAAGTATTAATGTTTACTTGTTAAGTAGAATTGAGATTTTAATTGTTCGTATGTGTTTAGAATTTAGTTAGCGTTTGCTTGTGAGATAGGTTTCATATTTTGGATAGAAATGGAGAAAAAGAATTGCCAACCCAGTAGGAAAGGAGAAGGAATTTTCAGGATTTTCTAACCTATAAATATGTAATCATTCTCTAGTTAATGACATTAACATTGGAACCCAAATATTTAGCTTTTCGTTCTTTATTCGCTATTCTTTTACAGTCTTCCGTTAGTCTTTTGTGAGAGTGACCATTAATGCAAATATAATTTTTTCAGTGGCAAAAGTTAAACAAATTTGTAAACTCAATGACCATTTATACTATTTACCCGAGTTAAATTATATATTTTGTAATGTAATGACAAGTGACCTGGTCAACAAGCCGAGTACAAGTATAATTACTAGTTAGAGAGAGGAGTCTAATTAGTTTATTGATAAAAAAAGACAATTACAGTTATATATCTTATATGGCAACGATCATCCTGCATCCGGTTTTATGTAGCGGTTGACGAGCGGTCGAGGCGGTTAACCGCTCGAGCCGATCAAGCCGCTCGTCCGGTTTTTGCCATTCAGCCATTAAATTTAATTAAAGAAATTGCAGAAAATTGAAATAAACCAAAAACGTCGGTCTCTCAAGCTGAATCCTTATATCCGTTTCACAATTTTGAAGGAAAGAGACGAGCTCTGATTAAGAAATGTCCACTATTTATACTGATAACATTTATCAGGTACCGGTTCTCTAACGGTTTTTAAACGGTCTAATGTCGGTTGGACCACTAAAGTGCGAACCGTTCGCATTACCGAGTCATGCTCCGGTTTGGTTCTGACAACATTGCTTCAAAGTCAACTTTGCGAACAGCTTTGTTGGATGGTTCCAAACGACGCCAATATATCGTCGTCATGATAGCGTAGTTGTGAAAATGCCATTAAAATTCATTGTTTACTGCGATATATATAATGAACGCCGAGTGATTTAATTTGCAGTTGCAAGTGTTGAAATAGTTTTTTCATTTTTGGGTTACATCAAGAACATGATTCAGAATCGAATAGGGCGATGAGTTCATCTATAAATAATGTATAGTATGATATATTGAAAGAGATTTGTTGATCAGAGTAGACATTGACTGCGTTTCACACTCTTTACATTATAGACGAACTACCATAGACTTGGCGTTACATCTTGCAGAGGTGTATTGATCACACGTGAGTTTTCTCCACTTGAAACTCCTAGCTATAGCTTGCAGTTTTGAGAAAACAATGCTAGCTAGCTAGCAAGTTGAAATTTATTATCTTCCAATTCACAAGTCCAAATCACGTAAGTCAAACGATAGAATGCTGAAGGTTCTCGCCATGGATCACCCCTAGAGTTCCACATCCCAGGGGCACTTTCCCCTCGTGCAGGAGCACTGCCATCCATGCACTGCTTTATAAATAGCTTTCACTTGTTAAACAAACAGAGCAACGTAACTCCATAGAAACTCAAAGAAGATATCGATCGAGAGCCAGCCCATGGCAACATCAGCCGTTACAGTACTGGCGTTCATAGCTTTATCAGCCATCAATATCAAATCGCTGGCGCCGCCGGTCGCTTACGCCGACGAAAGGGCAAATCATACATGCGGCTGCCCTCGTTACAGTAGCAGCTGCGCCGATTGCGAGGGAGGACGCTGTTGTAGTCGGTGGGGCTACTGTGGAATCTCAATCGGCTACTGTACGCCGTGTTATTGTGAAGGTCATATCGAATGTGATCCTTGTCACTGCCTGGGCAATTGTCGTCATGCAGCCGCTGGAAACCAGCAGCTGCCGTCAGCAGCAGCGCCTGGTTACGACGGTAGCAATATTGAAACCCTAGTAGCAACCTACGACCCCAACCTTGACAACGTTGCCGTTGCTACTTCATCATCATCATCGTCGTCGTCAGTTGGTTCGGCCACAATATGCACTGGACCGTCTTCATCGACTACGGTCTCGACCAACATTGTTCCCGGCGGCGAATGTCTACTGGTAATATACTAATATAACTTATATACCACGTCGCGTCGATAAATAAAGCCATGCATGTAATGTACGTACGTAACTCATCCTTACCTTACTATCTTGATTCGTCCTTGTGGGTTGGCTGTACGTAGGTAACCAATCCTAAGAATGGAAAACAAGCGATGGTGAGAATCATGAACAGAAAATATTGTAGCAAGACAAGTTTGGCGCTGGACCACGATGCCTTTCAACAGCTAGAGGATGACGATGTAGCAGCAACCCACCTTCCAGTTCCTGTTGGCTACAAATATACGCACTGTGTTGACAATTAGCAAGTGCAGCATATATATAAAGTGCCATATCGGTTTGTGAAGCATGAGACATAAATGCTTCATCGACCTTGCTTGCTATCATCTACAATATCATATCCTAATATCAGCCATATAATTAATAAGCTTATAAGAATACCATATGGAATAATCCTTCGACATAATATAATACGCTACGAAACTTAATTTTCATAATAATAATTATTAATAAATTATATGACTTACAAATATTCTCCATATAATTCCTCTAATATATCCCGATCATTTTTATAAGTATATTGTCTGCTTTGGGTCTATTCTCGTACTTTTTTTTGTTTTCGACTGTATATTATAGTAACTTCTTAGGAGACATGATATTAAAGTGTTGTATCGGTTTGTGAAGCATGAGACATAAATGCTAACTATATCGACCTAGCTGGCTAGCTAGCTATCGTCTACATATCATAATATCATATCCGTCATATAATAAGTTTATACGTAGACATACCATTATGGAATTAATAGTCATTTCGATATATAATAATGTTACAAATTTTATTTCCAAAATCATTATGATTGAGCGATACGACCTTTTTGTGCTAAAGATGTTGTCTCTCGTTCTTGGCAATTGAAGTTGGATTGTTCCCTATGATCATGGATTTTCTTGTTCTCTATTGATGTGAGATTTATCTATTGTGTTGCAATTTATTATTATTTTTCTCTCGTTTCTATGGGTAGACAGTCAGCTTCTTCTTTATATGAACGATTTTTTTTTTAAAAAGAGAAGAATCATTACCACCGGTAGAGCACAATAAAAGACGCGATCATATAACTTTTGTTCGGGGATGAAGATGCATGTTTTATGACCATACAATGGGTAAGTTTTGGTAAAAGGAAATATTTATTTACAAATGCTTATACAAGGCATCAAATGTTGAGGATATTAATTACTTAGTCAAAAAGTAATTAATTCCTTGTCCTACAAGTCCCTAGTTTTCCTTGTTCAAGTAAAAGAAGGAAATTTGGTTGTCCTTAGGGTTTTAACCCTACGTCTATCTCTATATAAGCTTAGCTACGAACATGTCGTAAGCAAGCTGTCAAGATGTAGTCGTATAATAAAACATCAGTCGTGAGCTCGTTCCGAGCTCACCGTGGATTAGTCTCGATCAATCAATCGATCGAGGATACCACGTAAAACTCGTTGTCCCGTGTTATTTTCAATTCCGCATCATCAAATTCTACATGGTATCAGAGCAAAACTCGATCCTTTGTTAGGGTTTTGAGCTTCCGCAAGTTTTGTCTTTTGTCTCGTCGTCTTCGTCAATCAGCAGCCACGGTGAAAGAAGTTGTTGGCTCCACCTACGACGCCAATACCAGGTCGCCGTTGTTGCCCATTCGTGGTCGTTCATGGTCTCTCTCTAAAGGTCGTCGTCGCATCCCGTCACAATCGCTGATTTCGGTCGGATTCAGTTTCGTCCGCCTCGATCTTCTCATCAACACCAGTCAAGGCCGTCGTCAATGGCCTCCACTCGCCGCCGTTCCACATATCATCATCGTCATCCGCGTCCCGACGTCGTTGACTCATCATCGTCGCAGTCCTCAATTGTAGCGGTTAATTGCCGCTGATATCCCAGATCCATCCAAAAGATCACCGCTGTCGATTCGGATGAGCAGTCCAGCTCTCCGTACGTCAGGTTGACCTAGGCGAAGTCCGTCCGCTGTGGGTCGCAACACTTTCCAGTCACAGCCGTTTGTCGGCTCAATCATCCCGGCGTTGCTACCATCATTCATGGGTGTCGTCGTTCAGGAGATGCCGATGTTCATTCCGGCCTCCAACTCTGTCTCCGTCGCCGTTGCTGTAATCACCACCGACTCCATCCTAGTAAATTCCGAGCAACGACTTGATCTTGTTCCACGGTTCTCGATCTGGATCTCGGGCGCCATCGCCATCAGTCTCCAAGTCAATAGATCCCGTCGTAGCCATCGTCATCATCGTCGTCAACAGCAGCGCAAGCGACATTGATCCCATTGTCCTCGCTCCTCGATGTCGTCGCTAGCCTTGCCGGCGAGCCTCCCCCATCAGTTTTGGCTGTCCGCTGCCGCCGATCTCTGCTGCTGCCAACCGCTCAATTTTTCACAGCGGTAGTAGAAAGAGAGCCACAGCTCGAAACCTCAAGGCCGTCTCTCCACAATGGGCCTCCTAAGGTTCGGTTTCATGATTTGGGCCAGGTTGTTAACTATTTGTTTGACTTCCACTCAGGCCCGCAAGTTTACATATTGGGAGAAGTTTACATGAGGAGAGGGTTTTGGGTTGTCCGTCTGTTTCTAGAATGAAGAAACCTTTCATTGGTTCATTCAAGTTTGGAGTTTTGGTTGGTGGGAGTTCACTGAGTCAACGAAATTATGAGTCAACAGAAGGTTTGGATTCAGTTGTCAGTAATTACAACATGGGTTCAAAGTCATCATCATCCGTTGAGAGGGGTTTCGAAAAGTATCCTCACAGCTTGTCATGTTCTCGTCAAAGGCAGCCACAGTTTGGAGTTTGTTCCGGCGTTACAGACGAGTCATCTTCACAGTCTGGCAGTAAGTCAATCTTTACCAACATCAAAGTCATGGCGTTGGAGTCAATCGCGACATGTCTTGGTCGTCCCTTCAATAGCTAGTGTTGGGGAGATAGAGCAGCTTCTGTCAACAAATTTTTCCAGTCATCCCGCGAGGTAGTCACGATCAAAGAAGCGATCGTCCCCTCCACGTTCAGCATCGGTCAATGTTGAGTCATCATCGTTCTAACTTTCAAGCTGGGCATTCACATTGTTCATGCTCCAGCTTGAGGGGGAGAATAGGGAATCAACACATGTAGGTCGACTAGTTCAGTAATCAAGTCGACCGTGTGTATCTATCAATCATGTTGCTCGGGGAAGCACAGTCAGCAGTGCAGGTAGAAGTCTCCAAAGTTAGCAACGCAGTCATCAGTCTTCAATCTCATCCAAGACGTCAAGGAATTCCGCCATGCTGAGTTCATTGTCAAAGAACTGGGTCAAGCATGGAGTAGGATCAGTCTCATCCACGACGTCAAGGAGTTTCGCCAATGCTGAGTTCACTGTCAAAGAACTGGGTCAAGCATGGAGTAGTTTCGTCATTTGTCTACCTCTCCCACAAGTGAACAAAGTCACCGCCTGTTGGATCGTCATTGCCAGCAAGAGGTTGTTTGAGTGTTGTTCAGCTTCAAGCTCGACATTATTGTCATTCATGTCTTCGCTTGAGGGGGAGTGTTGAGGATATTAATTACTTAGTCAAAAAGTAATTAATTCCTTGTCCTACAAGTCCCTAGTTTTCCTTGTTCAAGTAAAAGAAGGAAACTTGGTTGTCCTTAGGGTTTTAACCCTACGTCTATCTCTATATAAGCTTAGCTACGAACATGTCGTAAGCAAGCTGTCAAGATGTAGTCGTATAATAAAACATCAGTCGTGAGCTCGTTCCGAGCTCACCGTGGATTAGTCTCGATCAATCAATCGATCGAGGATACCACGTAAAACTCGTTGTCCCGTGTTATTTTCAATTCCGCATCATCAAATTCTACATCAAATTCATCACATTGAGATAGTAGAAGAGTGTACTTTACCATTGCAGCAAAACAAACTTCTTGTTATTTGATTGATATGAATTTTTAAATCCTCAATCGAAATAGGTCTATAATTGAAATCTTTTTCTCAACTATCCTATTCGATTTCATCCAGCAACCATGAATCCTAAAGCAAAGGCATCTATCACTAGACTTTCTCTTTAGTAGTCGTCTAAATCTCTACTCGATTTGAAAAGAGGACACACCTAGTTTCAAATCGTTAACTCCCGACGTCTTAGTGATTCCATACCATCACAATCCATAAAATGTTAAATCTCATTAGGCTTGTAATTCGAATGAAGACATTAAAGTTGAGAAATTGCTACCTTTCCTTCTATGCTTCGGAGGGTGTTTCTTCATCTCCTATGAGTTGTGCCTGCATGCTTGATTGGCTCCAAAATTGACCGTTACTTTTTAAAAAAAAAAGCAATGAGCACAACTGGATTAACCTGGTATTGTTGAGTTTAGGGTCGAGATCGAGTTTGGATAATTAAATTTTTTAATTCAATTAATTTTTATTAAATAATTTTTTTTGATAATGGTGATGGTGTATTAATAAAGGAAAGAATTACAAAACAATGACTACAGCAAAGGCTCAAAAGACTGAACCTGCCCAACAACGTCTAAAACAAAACACAAAGACAAACAGGAAAAAATCAGAAAACAGAAAAAGAAAAAAGAGGAAAAGGAAATCCAAAGAGGTGGAGGAGGCCACTTCTGAAAGGACAACAGACAGAATCATACAGCTTCCAACATCATAGAGGGAAAGACAACAAAGGCAAGGGGACACCCAACAGCTGACACCACAAGAGAAAATGGATTACAGAGAGCTTTCATAATCTTGAGAGGTAGCATGCAATCCAAATTTTGCCCAATTCTTTTATTAAATAATTAATATGATGAATCAAAGTAAGTGGAATGATGAGGTGGAAAAATAAATAATTTTTCTTAAATTTTTTTAATTTCCACGTCATCTAGTTAACGGTCAATTTTTATAGTTGACTGCCATGTAGGTCATATTTAACGGACTGTAATGGCCGGTGACTAACGGTGAAACGATTCGTAAAGTTAGTGGCGAATAAGAAAGAAAAATAATTCGAGTAGCAAATGTGAAAGATTTGTATAATTTGAGTGACCAAACGTGTAATTTAGCCTAATCTTAACTATCTATTTATGATCCAAAATCACTAAATTAATGAGGGATTGCTATTCGTCGCGCTAAAATCCTTATTTGTCGCCCTAATTAAATTAAATTTACTCTAATATCCTTAATTTATTTACATTCACAATTACCGGGATGGATTGCTTCAATTAGAAAAAGGAAAGAAAATAGAAAAGCCCCGACCCAGATTGATTAGGGAGTATCGACGGCCACCATACGAGAAATACTAAGCAAAACTCGAAATTCGCCACTCCAGTCTGGCGGCTTGCCTGCCTGTAACCTCTTCTCCAACTCCCTCCCTACTCGTCTTCACGGTCGCCGGCGGCCACATCCGAGTTCACCGGCCGGGTTATTAATCTCGCACTACTACTTCTAATTTCTCGAAGCTGCCGGTCCCTCATATAACAAAGAAAGGTTGATATTTTTATTTCTTCTTTTTTGTTCTATGTCAGGGAGCGGGAAACGGAACCCTAAACCTTGAAGGTGATTTCTGGCAAGGCACTGAAAAGAGAAATTGAAAGCTCCGGTCATAGTGGAATGGCGACCGAGGTGGAATTTATTGTTTGGTTTAGAGATATTATGTAGAAATTTTGTTGAGGGTAAATATGTTAATTTAATATGTTTTTGGGCGATAAAATTTGATATCTAGGGCGACGAATAGCGATTCAGAATTAACGGTCCATAAGATATCGCTAATACCACACAATTAAGTCGTTTTCATTTGGAAGGTAGTTGAGAGTTTTATTATGATTAGCTACAAAGAATAGGAGGGCATGATAAATCCGGTACCCTGAAAACAAAGGTTACAAGCCAAAAATCTTCCAACAATAGTTTGTTTTAAGAGTCTTCTTACATTCTATCTTCTCATGCATTATAATTTTGGCTTCATACGTTTTCCCCCTTCCATACGCATCGCAACTCCTGTATGAGAAGAAAAAAATACGCAGCGTTTCTTTGTGCTTTTTATTATTTTAATAAAGTCGCAGGGTTATTTTGTTTTCCTTCATTTCGTTTATAGCCTTACTATGCTATAATGATTAACGCCACTAATTAGATTACGAACCAAACACTGGTCTAACGATATTATGGTTGTTTTTCATAGTATTAGTGTGTACTTTCCTTCTCCTCTCATACTATTAATAATTAAGATTAAGCTTCTCGACACGGAGAAATTTTACAATGCTATATAGTATTTGTGTTATAGGTTTTTGCTTTTATGGTACAACTTAAAATTGTACATTTACGTGTTATGGTACAACTTCAATTGTACCTATACTTTTTGTGCAAATTCTTTTACGGTACAACTTGAACTTGTACCTTTATGTGATGGTACAACTTCAAGTTGTAAAGTTGTACCATAACATAATGGTACAAAATGCTTTGTGGTAAAACCTAAACTTATACATTTAATGTCATGGTACAACTTTGAGATGTACATTAAAGCATCAATACTATATAGCATAGTAGAAGTGCTCCTCGACACGGCTTATAAATAGAACATACTTTGAAACACCCTCAGTAATTTCAGATGAGATATCTTTTATAAGGGTATATGCTGCATATCATATATTTTTAATAGTGCTTATTATGTATTATACAAATTGTTTGTAAACATGTAATTGCTCACGCTTTGCCAAAAATATTTTACATGTCTAGCTAGCATATTCATATCCTTCCAATTCAGAAAGTCCAAATCAGGAAGTCAAACGATAATAGCAAACAATTTAAAGGGAGAATGATGCAGGCAGGCTCCATTGGGCCACCCACATCCAACGGCACTTTCTCTCGTTCGTGCCCTAGTAGTGCCACTGCTCCATAAATAACAACCTTTTAGGGTTGAGGATCAGAAGCCTTAGTTCATTTCATTACTCTCTCAGCTTATATAGCTGGGTAGTTCACTTACAGACAGATTGGAAGAAGAAGACAAAGCTTGGGTCCTAAGCAAGTACAACTCAGAAATGGAAATAAATACAAATAACAAGTTGGTAATTTGCCAGAAACGACATCACTCCAGCATCTCGGTTGTGGTCTCGGCGAAACGATGTCGTCCGGTTTAGTGAGAGTGTATCTTGACACAATGGCAGCGTTTGGTTCAGTCGCAGCGGGTCTTGACCCAACGGCGACGTTTGATGCAACGGTCGTCTTCTCCGGTTGCTTTGGATTCAAATTTGGGGAAAAACTGATTGTTTTCCCTGATACCCCCCGCAAGCTGGCGGGCAGAGATTGAGCACGCCAAGCTTGGAGAAGAAGGTGGAGAAGCTCGCCGGCGGGAGAGGCTTGGTGAGGATGTCGGCGAGCTGGTGGAGAGTGGAGACATGGAGAATCTTGATGGTACCTGCAAGTAATTTCTCACGAACAAAGTGACAATCAAGCTCAATATGCTTGGTTCGTTGGTGAAATGTTGGATTTTCGGCGATGTAGATTGCCGATTGATTGTCGCAAAACACTATAGCAGGCTGGGGATGAGAAATGCCAAAGTCTTGAAGCAAGTACAGGAGCCATTGGACCTCACAGGTGGTGAATGCGAGGGCTCTGTATTCGGCCTCATAGGAGGACCTAGAAATTTGGGTCTGCTTCTTACTCTTCCAAGAAACAAGAGAACACCCAAGTAGACTAGGCGCTAACTCAACGGACACGTCAGCGCCAAATAAGCAAATAGTGACACGTCAGATATTTCAATTCCTTAATATTTACACATCATAAATTTTTAAAAAAAAGTTATTTACCCCATCGGCTTCCCACGACGCATCTTCCCCAGCTCCGGCAACAGTGCAACTAGGGGTCGTTTGGATAAGTTAATTGTCAATGTGGTATTTGTAGAGTCAAATAACTCATTTATTGCTCATGTGGTATTTCGGTGTTATTTTAGTAGTAATTGAAATAAAGTATCTCGTTTGGTTGAACCATGCAAATGTGGTACTTAACATGTGGTATTTGGTAAAAACAGAGTGATAAAACGAGTTATTTCGAAATAACACATGAGTATAAGTTATTTCAAATAACTCGTTTTGAGTTATTTGTAAATAACTCGTTTTGAGTTATTTGTAAATAACTCACTGTCCAAATAACTCATTTCAGGTAAAACGCTGCCAAACGAGTTATTTGCGTCCAAATAACTCTTTGTGAGTTATTTGAACCCAAATAACTCATACAAATACTCCATCCAAACGACCCCTTAATATTATAGGTACAATATGACACGTATTATGATGTTTTATCAAACATGCCCCTGTAAAATTTTTTAGGCAAAATACACGTGGATAGCAAACAAATTTGCGTGTGTGCCAATAATAGCCAGATTTGGAGAAATATCACTTATAGCCAGCTTTTAAAATTGTTGTAGGACAAACATAGCCATTTCCGTTAGATATATACTCTAAAGGTGTTATTAACATCATCAACTATTTAACAGTTCGCTGACTAGGCGCTAACTCAACAGACACTTCAGCGTCAAATAAGCAAATAGTGACACATAAGATATTTCATTTATTTAATATTTACACATCATAAATTAAAAAAATTATTTACCCCATTTGCTTCCCACGACCCATCTTCCCCAACTCCGTCATCTTCCCTAGCTCCGGCAACAGTGCAACCTCCCAGGCTCCCACCACCGACAGCGGCGGCAGCGAAGCTGCCCCTTCTCCCATCGTCCTTCGCACCGCCTTCTGTGCTTCCAGCCACTGTCCCCAGGTCCGCTCCCGCGCCCGGATTGAACAATTTAGCGGCAGTTGGATTCTCCTCTTCCTCGTTTATCTCGAGACCCAATATCCCCTTGTAGAACTCGAGCGACCTTTCGTCTTCTCCTCATAATCTGTAAAAGGAAAACATAGCAAGCAAGATGAACATTGGGATCCTCTTCCCTTCCGTATACTATAATAATTGAAAACCCCTTTTTCCCGAGAAAGCTCCGTTCACTCGAACTCTCTCACTCTCACCTCGCCGTCTTCACTCGCTCTCCCGGAAAATCTATGCAAACCTTCCACCTTTCCCCCCTTCTTCTACCTTGCGCTTCCCTCTGATTGCTACTTGAGCGGACATGGCTTGACATTTGATTCGGAATATAGGTTGGGTCTTGTTATTCTTCTGAATCGGCCATGGACGATGAGAAACTTTTCGTCGACCTTGGCTTTCACAAAGAGAGGGAGGAAGAGAGGAATGGGCTGACGGCAGAGCTGCAGGGGGACGACAGTGAATGATGAGGTGAGTGGTGGAAGAGAAGCCATGGCAGCCGGAGACGAATGGTGATTTCTTGTCTACTCCGCATTATTGACGACTCAATTTAGGGGAAGATTGGATGGAGAGAAAGGGGAAGATTGAGGTTTGTGGATTTTATTAAATTTACTTTTTACTTACTTTTTACTTTTATTAATCTACGTGGCAGTGTTGTTGATGCAATATCGCCAAATCAGCATTTTCATTTGTCCAATCAGCTTGTTAGATGACACCGTTAAAGTATTGGACGGAAATGGCTATAAGTGGTATTTCTCCAAATATGGCTATTATTGGCACAAATGCGAAAGTTTTGGCTATACAAGTGTATTTTGCCAAAATTTTTATATCAAATATGTCCTTGTACTATGTAAAAATGATCAAATATGCTCTCCTGTTAAAATTTTCATTCAGAAAATCGGCAACCTTGTGTTAAAATGCACACATGATCTCACACCTTTTTTTTTGCTGACGATTCGATATTTTTTGCCAGGGCCACGGTACAAGAAAGTTTGGAGTTGTGACAAATCCTTATCGATTATCAAATGGAGCCAGGCCAACTTGTTAGCTTTAAGAAGTCGGAGGTTACTTTTAGAGAGAATGTGAAGCCACACCAACGTTTACTTGTTAGTTTGGCCCTTGGGATGCGAGCTATGGAGAAGCATGATAAATATCTAGGTTGATCAAAGAAGGCACTCTTTGTCTACCTAAAGGAACGTGTCCGGAAGAAGCTGTCGGGCTGGAGGAACGCACGATATTCGTGACGGCCAGGGAAGTCTTGATCAAATCGGTTGCCCAGACCCATTTGACTTACACGATGGCTATTTTTAAGGTACTAGATGGAATCATTGAATGATCACAGGATTTTGGTGGGGTCAACAAGGGGTACGAAGAATATATACCATGGATAGTTGGGGAATCTTTGATCCGCTCTTAAGCAGAAGGGGTCATGGGATTCCGTAATTTACGTGGTTTCAACATTTCTCTCTTGTCTCGACAACTCTGAAGCCTCTATCAACGACCTACCTCTCTTGTAGCAAGGTTAATAAAGGCCAAGTATCACAAGAACGTTACAATTTTGAATTCCACAATTGGATACACTGACCCGGTTACACGAGGAGGAGCTTTATATATGGGTGCACAAGAATTCCTGCTAGGACTTAAATGGAGAATTGGAAATGGGACTTGAGTTAAAATTTGGTGCATGGTTAGATACTTAGATCCGCATCTCCTCAAGTGGTACAACTTGGCATTATGTTTAGTTACAGAGAATGGGATGTGAGGACAAATCCAGTACCCTAAAAATAATGGTTACTAGCCAAAAGTCTCTTGATAATAACAATTGTTTCAAGTCTTCTTACTTTCATCTTCTCGGAATAATCTTGGCTTTGTACGTTTGCCCTTTCCCATACGCATCCGGAACTCCTCTAAAGACAGTAATAAGATAAATACATGCAGCGTTTGTTTGTGCTTTTATTAAATTCAAAGAGAGAATGCTGCAGGCGCCCGCCATGGATCACCCTAGCTAGAGTTCCACATCCCAAGGGCACTTTCCCCTCAGTGCAGGAGTAGTACTGCCACCGCTTTATAAATAGATTTCACTCGCATCGCATCCACAATCAAAACAGCTAGCACACAAATCTCGAAACAGAGCAATGGCAGCAGCAGCCGTTACAGTAGTACTCGCTGTATTAGTCGTCATCATCACCATGTCGCCGGCGCCGGTCGCCGCCGAAAGGGGAAATCATACATGCGCCTGCGCTGGTTACGATAGCAGCTGCGGGGATTGTGCGGCAGGACGGTGTTGTAGCCCGTGGGGCTACTGTGGAGACTCTTTCGGTTACTGTAAGCCGTGTTACTGTGACGGTGGTTACCTTTGTAATCCTTGTTATTGCCTGGGCAATTGCCCTCGGCCGTCTGTTGAGAGCATTAAAGAAACTTATGCCAGTAGTAATGAAACCCTAGTAGCCACCTACGACCCCAACCTCAACAACTTTCGCGTTGCTACTTCATCATCATCGTCTTCATCGGTTGGTTCGGCCACAATATGCACTGGACCGTCTTCATCGACTACGGTCTCAACCAACATTGTTCCCGGCGAATGTATACAGGTATTATTAATAATTACCACGTTGCGTCTATAAACAAAGCCATTTATGTACGTAGCACTCCTAATGATATTGATCCTTCCTTGTGGTTGTAGGTGACCAATCCTAATAATGGAAAACAAGCGATGGTGAGAATCATAAACAGTAAATATTGCAGCAAGACAAGTTTGGCACTGGACTACAATGCCTTTCAACAGCTAGAGGATGATGATGCAGCAGCCCGCCTTCCCGTTCAAGTTAGCTACAAATATACGCACTGTGCTGACAATTAGCAAGAGCATGATATAAAGTAGTGTTGTATCGGTTTGTGAAGCATGATACATAAATGATATATCAACCTACCTAGCTACCTTGCTAGCTAGTTATAGTCTACAATATCATAATATCCTATCAGTCATATAATAAGTTTATAAGCATACCATATGAAATCATCCTTTTAGACATAATAATAATAATAATAATAATAATAATAATAATGTTACAAGCTTAATTTACTACATTTTTGGGGGAAATTTAAATTCTCTAATGTTTAAATCAAGATATAGAATCTATGCTAAACGTAGAGATTTTATATCTTGGCCTACACATTATTCTTTTTATTTACATAAAAGACAATTTTCAAACGATACATTTGTGAGACTCCATTTAAACAATTATAAGAATAAATTTTGTTAGATAGATTTAAATCACAAAATTCAAACTTCAATTCTCCAAACCAACCCTCAAGATGCCTATTATCTGTTTTCAGAACCGAATTGGACGCTGAACCGGAAAATTTAGTGGTTTAGGGTTTAGTGGTTAAGCGACAAAACCGTTGATAAAACCGTTCATGATATATAACATACAAGGCTTGTATAGTACACTAATTTAAGAATGAAGTTATCATTAACCATAAAAAAATTAAATTCATATCATCACTAAAATATCATAACAAGTCATTCAAATCGTCTCATAAAAGAAATCCTAATTTTTTTTAATTCAAGTTAAAAATTAGAGCTAATACCACTACAACACCCGAACTATCGAAGAAATGCCACTTGTGTCCTATTGTTTTCAATATTCCATTTCTATCATGAACTATGATACTTTGTGCCATTTGTATCCTCACGATTTCGTTGACCGTTATCTCTAACGGTTGACCTGACGGTGGTCAAAGAGATGTTTACTTTGGCTGACATGGAAGGAAACGTGGCATCCACGTAGATGCCACATCATACCACATATATTTTTAATTCAAAATCAAATTAAAATGAAAAATAATTAAAGATAAAAAATACTTTCTACCCACCGTCGACTTCAACCCGCTCCGCACCCTACCCCGCCCTCAATTCTAACCATCGTCGTCGCTGCCTTCAAATCCCTTCCGCAAATTAGCATCTATGGCAACGATATCTCGCCGCCGCCTTCCCCCATGACAAGCTGCTCTTCCAGCGACCTCGCTTCCTCAACCCTCTCCATCTAGAAGACGACGAAGCTCCAATTCTCATACAACCAGTGGAATAACTTCTGCGGCCGAAAGATGGGAGAGGAGAGAGGGACGATGGTGGATAGGGACGCAAATGACGACTAGGGATCACGAAAAACGACCGGCGATGCCATGAGACTCTTCTCTATCTCCAGTCCATTCTAAACACCGACGATGCAACCTTCTTCCCGTGCTAGATTTGATTCCCCTCCAAATTGCTCGATCTCGTCGACCCGACCCTCCAAATTGCCCTAGCCCGCCGACCCAACGTTGGGGCAAGCTCAAGTTATCAATCAATGGGTGAAGGGCGGAAGAGAGACGAATTTGGATGGGGGAAGCTAGGGCCATGGCTGGTCGATTTAGGGCTCCTCTGAAATTGACTATGGAAGTTTCGATTCAGAGCAGTGGTGGAGGCAGAGGTTTTTTGTCGAATGAGGCAGGGGTTTTTGTCGAATGAGAGGGGTGATTGGAGCAACTGGTTGCGAGGAGAGCGGAGTACTAGGAGATTGTGGCGACTTTGCGGAGTCGGCGAGTTGGGAGGCGGAGAGGCGGAGGTGAGCAGGGAGGGAGAGATAATGTGGGAGGAGGGTAAGGTCGGAAGTGGCCCATAATTTTCCTTTTTTTATTTTAAAATATTAATTTAAAATTCCTTGTCATCTGCCACATCAGCGCTAACTATAATTTTTGTTAAAATTAACGGTCAACGCCGGTCAACTCTAATGGAAAAAATAGTTCAGGACATAAATGGAATATTTAAAAGAATAGGACATAAGTGGCATTTTTGCCATAGTTCGGGTGTTGTAGTGGTATTAGCCCTAAAAATTACAGTGCCAATCGGTAGTGGACCACGTAAAGTCGACAACAAGGTTATAAAATGAGAAGAGGAAGTAGAAATAAAATTATTAATTCTTGTTTGAGGCTCTTAGTTTACACCAAAGTATTTTGTTTTTAAACTTTTGTGGTTGAAATAGTGGACCAGTAAAATTGTGATGGTTCATCTAATTTTATTTGAACCATGAAAAATCGTTTGATCCATCAATAACCGTCTAGACAATGAACTGGATCGCTATCACAACAGGTTTGGTGATCCTACTAATCCAATATTTGATCGATTCGGTTCTTATAACCAGTGTTATTAAAGCCGAGCCGCTCGGCCCGACCGGTAAAACCGCCACCCGGTCATAAAACCGGCTCGAAACAGTCTAAAAGCCGCTCCGGTTTTATGTAGCGGTTGGCGAGCGGCCGAGGCGGTTAACTGTTCGAGCCGATTGAGCCGCTGGTCCGATTTTTGCTATTCAGCCACTAAATTTAATTAAAAAAATTGCAGAAAATTGAAAAGTGAAATAAACAAAAAACGTAGGGCTCTCAAACTGAATCCTTATTTCCATTTCACAATTTCGAAGGAAAGAGATGAGCTCTGAATAAATGTCCACTATTTATACTGATAACGTTTATTAGGTACCGGTTCTCTAACGGTTTTTAAACGGTCTAATACCGGTTGGACCACTAAAGTGCGAGCCGTTCGCATTACCGGGTCATGCTCCGGTTCGGTTTTGACAACATTGCTTATAACAATGCTATTAACCCTCCTAGACCGGCAACACGTACATAAATTTCCTAATCCTCCCGATAATTATCCCAACAATAATATCTCCAGGAAAAAAACTATATAGAAGTTAACCAAAATCCTACTTATCAGTTATCACTCCTCCTTTATAACTACATATTCTAATTAATAATTTCTTGTCTATTCGAGGACATCTTATAAAATTACTAATTTTATCTTTTCTTGCTAGCTAACTACTATTTTCTACCACTTGTACGATTGTTTATATATAAAGACCAAATTACATCACTAGTACCTATTCTACAAATTACATAAACTACCCATAATACATCAAAAAGTACACTTATGATCTTATATACAGTCTAACACTATGGAGAATAGAAACATGCATTTGGTGGAGAAAAAATTGGAATGGTGAGGTGGTATGGATATAGAATAGCCCAAAAGTTAGCTTTATTCTAGAACCTCATCAGAATGAATGTGTCAAGAAAGAAAACCATCAACTTGCAGGCTGCAAAGTGCAGACGGGACCGACCCATAACATGTCCAACCCTAATAAATACGAACAAGTATATATGAAAGAACATTTGAGCAACTATATGTATATATATGGAGTATACTGTCTTGGTGTGTCTTGCCCTTGCCTCTGATTGCTATGGACGAGTCCGTGTAATTGCAACCAGCAGCTTGGCTACTGTCTTGGTGCGTTTGAGTTGGTCTAGCTTGGGACCAGGGGCGGAGCAATGATTTGAGTTTGGGGGGTCGAAGTTAGTGTACAATCGTAGAAAGGACAAAAAATAAACAAAAGAATACAACAAAATTTAGTATTTTTATATTTGTAACGACATAAGACATAATTTTAAATGATTTTCTATTAACATTATTATTTTTTGAAAAATAATTGATTATATAACCAGAAGATGAGATTTTTCATAAATAAAAAATAAATTTTTATCAATATTATTGTTTGAAAATTATTAATTATATACACAAAAGAATCATTAAACATAAAAAATTTAAAAGTTAAATGATTAAATGGGTTATTTAGTAAAATTAATAAGAATAGGATAATATAAAACACAACAAATTCAGCACTAGTATACTTTGAACCAAATTCATCACTAGGGCTCAAGATAGGGTGCATAATCATGGGTTATGCATATATCAATAACCAAATCTGGACCCTTCATTTAGAAAATCCAGATCTAAGGATAGAGAATTAAAGACCATTTTTATTTTCCATAGCTTTCTTAATCGACTCATATCTTTTTCGTTTTAACTCGAATTTTAATATTTTTTGCACAGGTGGAACGAGTTCATCGTGCTCTACAAAATGAGATCAATTTTGATATTTTTTTTAGAACAAAAAAATCTGGCCTCTCGTTACCAACTGCATACCATATAGTATTTTCTTCGTTTTTTAATTTGTTTGTGAAAACGCTTGCACAGAAGGGACGAGTTCATCATGATCTATTGGATCTACAAATTTTTGGGTGAACAAATTACATGACCATAAAATACCACACAATACCATACAATACCACCCTGGTACAGGGTGGTATCTTATGGTACACAATGTTAAAAGTCGTAAATGACAGTTAATATATTTCTACTATCATGTATTCAACCATCCTACAGTCTTGGTTTGTTCATACCACCATGGTACGTTTTTCAAACCATAGGTATGCTCTTATTTCAATACCAGTCAATACCATATGGTATAGACTGGTAAAAAATGCCTCATTTTTTTTTGTTCGAAAAATATATCAAAGTGTATATCATTTTGAAGAGCACAATTAATATGATCTAACTGTGTAAAAAAATTAAATTTCGACTTAAAAAGAGTGAGAAATCGTCCGTCAAAAATTAAGGAGGGAAAAATTAAAGACTTTGCAGGAGAGAGATACTGATGTCATGCTGACATAGACGGGTTACTCATGGTTACTGACCTGATCCGTTCCCCATCACTAGGATACTTTGAACCCTAATTTGGTCGGAATTAGAAGAGACAACATGGCACTGAGCTGCACTCAAATTTGTATATCATTTAGGCACATATTTTTATTAGTACTAAAATATAGTTTATACATAATTTTTCAAACTTCCTCGACGTTTTGTACGTATTTTTGAAATGTCCCCCGAAGAGCTCACTTAGCTCTGCTCCTGCTTAGAACACTCATTCATTCACATGTTTACTGATTACGTACATTGATGTTTGTTGCCACTACATATAAGCTTATTTTTGGGCTAAGTGTGTTTGGGCTGAAAGGGCCTTTACGTCCTCCCCTGCAGAATGTGATAAGAACAAGTAATATTATACGTACAATATGTCACGTATTATGATGTTTTATCAAACATGCCCAGTAAAATTTTTTAGGCAAAATACATGTGTATAGCCAAAACTTTCGTGTATGTGCCAATAATAGCCAGATTTGGAGAAATATCACTTATAGCCAGCTTTTAAAGTTGTTGTAGGACAAACATAGCCATTTTCGATAGATACTCTAACGGTGTTATTAACTTCGTCAACTTATTTAACAGTTCGCTGATTAGGCGCTAACTCAACAGACACGTCAGCGCCAAATAAGCAAATAGTGACACGTCAGATATTTCAATTATTTAATATTTACACATCATAAATGAAAAAAATGGTTATTTACCCCATCGGCTTCCCACGACACATCTTCCCCAGCTCCGGCAACAGTGCAAGTGTGCAACCTCCTAGGCTCCCACCACCGACAGCGGCGGCAGCGAAGCTGCCCCTTCTCCCATCGTCCTCCACACCGCCTTCTGTGCTTCCAGCCACTGTCCCCAAGCCCGCTCCCGCGCCCGGATTGAACAATTTAGCGGCAGCTGGATTCTCCTCTTCCTCGTTTATCTGGAGACCCAATATTCCCTGGTAGAACTCGAGCGACCTTTCGTCTTCTCCTCATAATCTGTAAAAGGAAAACATAGCAGGCAAGATGAACATTGGGAAAGCCTTTTCTCCTCTTCCCTTTCGTATAATATAATAATTGAAACCCCTTTTTTCCCGAGAAAGCTCCATTCACTCGAACTCTCTCACTCTCACCTCGCCGTCTTCACTCGCTATCCTGGAAAACCTACGCAAACCTTCCACCTTTCCCCCCTTCTTCTACCTTGTGCTTCCCTCCGATTGCTGCTTGAGCGGACATGGCTCGACATTTGATTCCGAAGATAGGTTGGGTCTTGTTATTCTTTTGAATAGGCCATGGCCGATGAGAAACTTTTCGTTTACCTTGGGTTTTGCAAAGAGAGGGAGGAAGAGAGGAATGGGGCTGACGGCGGAGCTTCAGGGGGACGACGGTGGATGATGAGGTGAGTGGTGGAAGAGAAGCCATGGCAGCCGGAGACGAATGGTGATTTCTTGTCTACTCCGCATTATCGACGACTCAATTTAGGGGAAGATTGGATGGAGAGAAATGGGAAGATTGAGGGTTTGTGGATTTTATTGAATTTACTTTTTACTTTTTATTTTTATTAATCTACGTGACAGTGTTGTTGATGCAATATCGCCAAATCAACATTTTCATTTGTCGAATCAGGTTGTTAGGTAACGCCGTTAAAGTATTGGACGGAAATGGCTATAAGTGGTATTTCTCCAAATCTAGCTATTATTGGCACAAACGCGAAAATTTTGGCTATACAAGTGTATTTTGCCAAATTTTTTATATCAAATATGTCATTGTACTATGTAAAAATTATCAAAATGTGCTTCTTTTAAAATTTTCATTGAAAAAATCGACAACCTTGTGTTAAAATGCACACATGATCTCACACTTTTTTTGCTGACGATTCAATATTTTTTGTCAGGGCCACGGTACAAGAAAGTTTGGAGTTGTGACAAATCCTTATCGATTATCAAATGGAGCCAGGCCATCTTGTTAGCTTTAAGAAGTCGGAGGTTACTTTTGGAGAAAATGTGAAGCCACACCAACGTTTACTTGTTAGCTCGGCCCTTGGGATGCGAGCTATGGAGAAGCATGATAAATATCTAGGTTGATCAAAGAAGGCACTCTTTATCTACCTAAAGGAACGTGTCCGGAAGAAGCTGTCGGGCTGGCGGAACGCACGATATTCGTGACGGCCAGGGAAGTCTTGATCAAATCGGTTGCCCAGACCCATTTGACTTACACGATGGCTATTTTTAAGGTTTCAGATGGAATCATTGAATGATCACAGGATTTTGATGAGGGTCTACAAGGGGTATGAAGAATATATACCTTGGACTAGGTGGCGGTACCGCGTCTTGTCGCGGACGGAGATGGCTTATGAGCATGTATTATGTGGCTCATTATGGTGTTTTGTTAGTATTATTAGTCTAAAATTAATTTTTTGTTAGTAGTTTTGTTAGTAATATTGACTGAGAAGAGATATATGGCGGTCAACATCCAATTTAAAAAAAATGAAAATTTTGGCTAATAATAGATATTTACATAAACCCAATTACACCCATTGATTACGGGTAGGGTATGGCTGACATGTATATGAGTTTAGAAATTTGCAGATGAGTTTGGGTAGGGTCAGTGGCGGATACATGGGCCTTTAGGGGTGTCCCGGGACACCCCTAAAATTTGGAAAAACGATTATTGAACCCCCAGTAGTAGTTTCGTATGTATAAAAAAAATTATAATTGGTAATCCGGGACACCCATAATTTTAGAAAAATGATTATCCTGTCCTCGGTAGTAGTTTGCGTATGATTAAAAATATATAAGTAGTATTCTGCGTTATTCAAACCTAGGACACTACTATTATTAAACATATTCTCTAGGTTGCAACTCATTTGTTGTTTTATTTTAAACACTATGTTATAGTAAAAACACTATTCTTTATTCCCAATTATTTTCAAAACTTAACAATTAAACTCATTCGAGCTATCCTTAATTTGAATTGATTTTATAGGTATAGGACAAGAGTTAAAAGAATCTTTCAAGTTTGAGTTACATCAGGAACAATGTTATAAATCGAATATGCGATCAGTTCGAGAATTATTGTCTAATATGGTATATTTGCACTACTCGGATATTTTTTGATTTATGAATTATTTAATTAAATTTTTAATTTATTTTATTTTTTGAAAGAGGACACCCCTATAAAAATTTCCTGGATCCGCCACTGGCTAGGGTATGGATATTTACTTTCATAATCTAAATGTGTATGAGTTGGGTATGTATACACATTTATTCGAGGATATTTTAATTACACACAAAAATTAGACCTATTTGTAGAACTTCAAAAGTTTAGGTACAAAAAAAAAAGTAAATTAAGGTTATAAATCTAAAGATCTATCAAGTTTAGGTACCGTACTATAATTTGCATAGTTGACGCTTAATTCCTTTTTATGGCAATGTATTTAAGATGATAATTATTTACTTTTTTATAGAAAATAGAAAATAGGAAACTAATTATTTACTATCTATTTAAGATGATAAACATTCCATGTATAATTGTTAAAAATTCTAATCAAAGAAAAACTCTAGAGAGAAGCAAAAAGAATACAAACTGGAACTCGCTTGAAATTTCACGCTTTCAAATCCCATAGTGGAAAATGACACTTTTCAAATAAGTAATAATCATATATATTTATTTTTAATTGGACTCGACGGTACATTGAGCTGAAAAAGTTAGTGATTCGTGGTTCAATTATTATTTATCTAGACTGTTGGTGAGTCGTGTATGGAATGATTAGAATACATAAAAATAGTATACTGATTTGGGTTATGGAATGCGAGTGAAAAATGAAACGAAGAGGAAGTAGACAATGGAAAGGTTTTGACCAATTCTTTTAGTTGGCTGTCAATACAACAATCAACCCTTTTCACCATAGCAATTTATTGACACTTGCTTATGTAGATGTCGCGCATATTTTGTTACATGTAGTTAGTAGAAGTTTGTTTAGTACCCCCTAAATGTGGAATTTTTCCAGAAATAGCACCTTTAAAAAAAAATTACAAAAATAGCACCCATCCGTAAAAATTTCCACTAATAGCACCCTTTTTAATAGAACGCACCTTGTAGATGCGTTTTACATATAAATCGCACCCTACAAGTGCGTTTTAAATATAGATCGCACCCTACAAGTGCGTTCCAAAAATCTGGAATCAAATCGCACTTTAGCCAAGCGATTTTAGGTCTGACCTAGTAAAATCGCATGGCCGAGGTGCGATTTGTTTCTGCCAGACAAAATCGCACCATGAGGATGCGATTTTAACATGCAAACCGCACCTTAAAGGTGCGGTTTTGGTCAATCAATTTCCGACATACCATACAGACGTTACAGACGTGGGTCTGCATGGGCCTGCATGGCAGACGAAAATCGCATCTCTAAGGTGCGGTTTTCATCAAGATTTTGCCTATAAAAGGCCTCCCGGACAACCATTTCTCTTCACACCTCTCCTTCTCCCTTCCCTTTTCAATTTTCTGTTGTAGCTCTATATTTCTTTAGTAGTTTTGCGATTAACGTTAACTCGTAAGTTGATTTAGTATTACATATTTCTTTAGTAGTTTTGCGATTAACGTTAACTCGTAAGTTGATTTAGTATTACATATTTCTTTAGTAGTTTTGCGATTAACGTTAACTCGTAAGTTGATTTAGTATTACATATTTCTTTAGTAGTTTTGCGATTAACGTTAACTCGTAAGTTGATTTAGTATTACATATTTCTTTAGTAGTTTTGCGATTAACGTTAACTCGTAAGTTGATTTAGTATTACATATTTCTTTAGTAGTTTTGCGATTAACGTTAACTCGTAAGTTGATTTAGTATTACTTTTTATTGTTAAATTTTTTATTTTTATTTTTATGATATTAACTTAACTACGGTTTTATCGCAGATGGCATTCCAAGAGTTCACGCTTGGCTTACGGTGGAATGGTTACACGGAAGAGACCGGAAAGGGTGCCACCTACGTAGGTGGCAATTTTCAGAAGATAAAGGTCGCTACCAGACCGCTGCTTGAAGACCTCCATCAAATGTGCACTAACGTTACTTGCATGGATGGCACGAGAAAAGTTGATCGTATGGTGTACCGATATCCAAACAGAGAAAGTGGGTCATTGTGGCATGAGGAATATCTCATAACCACTCAGGATGAGGTAGACGCCATGCTCGAATTCATGAGGTCCAACAATCTTTCCAAAGCCGAGATGTTCTTTTACACCGAGCCGGTCGTAGGCGTTGGAGGTCATTCTGGACACGGTCAAACATCTGGTATCCATGGTGGAGGTGAATACTATGGCGATCATCCCTACCAAAGTTACCATGATCCTAATTCATATGTATAGATACCTAACCAAACATTCCATATATAATTGTCGAAAATTCTAGCTCGGGTGAAAAATAAAAACTTTAGGGAGAAGCAAAATGAATACAAACTGAAACTCGCTTAAATTTCACGCTTTCAAATCTCATAATGGAAAATGATTACTTTCTAATAAGTAATAACCATATTTATTTATTTTTATTTGGACTCGACATTGTGCTGAAAAAGTTAATGGTTCATGGTTCAATTATTAATTCTCTAGACTGTTGGTAAGTAGTATGGACATGTTCATACTTGTGATTAGAATACATAAAAATTGTATACTAATTACGGCTAGACGAAGAAGGTAAAGAAAGAAATAAATAAAGAGTTATGGAAGGCGAGTGAAAAATGAAGCAAAAAGCAAGTAGATGATGGAAAGATTTTGACCAATTCTTTTAGTTGGCCGTCAATACAACAGTCAACCATTTTCACCGTAGCAATTTATTGTCACTTAACTATGTAGATGTCGCCTATTTTGTTGCATGTAGTTAGTAGAAGTTTGTTTAGTACCCCGTAAATGTACTAAATGAGTTTATAAAATCGCTCTTGTAATATTTTAGAGTCGTCTCACTTTTATTATTTATTTAATGTCTCACGCAATGAGCAAATATAAAATGGTCGAATCTTCTCCTTCAGTTGAGTGATACAACATCTTGTATGGTAAAAACTAAATTTATATTTTTTGTTATGGTAGATTGGATTCATTGATTGATTCAAAAGGATTGGCGGATTGGATTCATGGATTCAAGTGAAATCTAAACATTAAACCAAAATGTAAATTAAAAAAAAATGTAGGTACGAAAAGCTCATAAAATTTAGATAACAAAACATAATTGTTCAATAATTTTACATTGAAATTAAATTTTGGGTATCAAAATGTAAAATGTATATTATTGTAACTAAGTTTTAATTTAATTAAATTTGGGTATTAAAACGTAAAAATGATAGTTGCCTAATCAACTTGCAAGATTAGGCAACATTAACTCATATGGTACAAACTAAATTTATATTTTTTGTTATGGTAGATTGGATTGATTGATTGATTCAAAAGGATTGGCAGATTGGATTCATGGATTCACGTGAAATCTAAACATTAAACCAATATGTAAATTAAAAAAAATATAGGTACGAAAAGCTCATAAAATTTAGATAATAAAACATAATTGTTCAATAATTTTACATTGAAATTAAATTTGGGGTATCAAAATGTAAAATGTATATTATAGTAACTAAGTTGTAATTTAATTAAAATTGGGTATGAAAATGTAAAAATGATAGTTGCCCAATCAACTTGCAAGATTAGGCAACAGTAACTCAACTTCTTCTTTATATATATTAAATAGTTGGGGAATCTTTGATCCGCTCGAAAGCAGAAGGGGTCATGGGATTCCGCAATTTACGTGGTTTCAACATTTCTCTCTTGTCACGACAACTCTGAAGCCTCTATCAACGACCTACCTCTCTCGTAGCAAGGTTAATAAAGGCTAAGTATCACAAGAACGTTACAATTTTGAATGCCACAAGTGGATACACCGACCCGGTTACACGAGGAGGAGCTTTATATATGGGTGCACATAGAGGTGGCAAATGGATTGGATTGGTGGATTGGGTTGGTGGATCCATGGATCAAATGGATTGGATCTAATGGATTGGTGGATTCATGGATTGGATCAAGTGGATTGGTGGATTATCCATGAATCCAAATGACATCCTCAACCAAGGACCAATATGTAAAATGTAAAAAGTTTAGGTACTAAAATGTCCTAATGAAAAATTTTAGGTACCAAAACGTAATTTTTCAATGATATTTTTCGCATAAAAAATAAATTTTAGGTACCAAAATGTAAAAAATAAAAATTATAGCTACTAAACCGTATTTTGCCAATGATCCATGGATCCAATCCATGAATCCACCAATCCAATTGGATTTGGATAAAATGGATTGGATTTAAATGGATTGGATTAGGTGGATATTTTTAATGGATTGATGGATTGGATTGGTGCATTGGATTGAAATTGCCACCTCTAGGTGCACAAGAATTCCTGCTTGGACTTAGATAGAGAATTGGAAATGGGACTTGAGTTAGAATTTGGTGCATGGTTAGATCCGCATCTCCTCAAGTGGTAGAACTGGGCATTATGATTAGTTGAAAAGAATGGGATGTGAGGACAAATCCAGTAACCTAAAAATAATGGTTACTAGCAAAAAGTCTCTTAATAATAACAATTGTTTCAAGTCTTCTTACTTTCATCTTCTCGCAATAATCTTGGCTTTGTACGTTTGCCCTTTCCCATACGCATCCGCAACTCCTCTAAAGACTGTAATAATATAAATACATGCAGCGTTTGTTTGTGCTTTTATTAATTTTTTGTTGTTTTTAGTGTGTATAAAGAAGGTACAGTTGTTGGGTTCTTCTTCTTGTTTTCATTAATACATTGTCTTGCTATATAGTGATTAACGCCATTGGGGACGAACGATAGGAGTGATCTAGCTGTACCATGATTGGTTTTAACTTGAAGATTAGATGTTTGTATTTTAGGTATAATTTCCTTTCGCACTCACTCTTGTCAGTTGTCACTAACAAGTAAAAATAATAATAATTAATTTTCTTAAGATTGCCACATGGCTCAATCTATTTGGCTTACAATGAAATACTTAAACGCCAGAGCAGTTAAATATGATATATTTTAAATAAAAGTACGTCGTAATTACCAGTGTATGTCTGGAGTATACATAGGGCTGGGAATTGGTGTGGTTGCGGTTAACAGTATCAAAATTTGCGGTTAACCGTAACCGAAATGGAGCCATATATGCCAACCGAGACCGCACCGCAAATGGTTTGCGGTTAACCACTAACCGCAAAGTGCAGTTAATGGTTAACCACAGTTAATCGTATTAGTAATTGTTATGATGAGTTGTGAAATTTTTGGGTTATGCGTTTTGCCGCCAATGCGGGAGGATTTTCGGTTAAATTGTGATTATCTATTATTTGGTTGCGGTTAAACCACAAACCGTAAAACATGCAATATTGTTAACCGTGACCTCAAAATAGACTATTTTTTTGGTTTGCGATTAACCACTAACCGCGCGGTTTTGATGCAGTTAGCGATTTAATTGCAATACCGCAACCGAATTCTCACTCATAAGTATACCATATTCCAAGTGATTTGATCGTTGGATGTACTTCGTTGTACTTATTAAGATTAATTGATTATTATGTATTAAAATGATCTTCGAGTTTGGGTTTTGAGAATTTGGGCATGAAGCTTATCTATTAGAGAATATAGTATATATAGTATCATAATCCAAATTCGATTTAATTCATGATCTATATAAAGATATCACACTAAAAGTACCTGGGTATCATATTTCTAAATTATAGCAATCAGCTGACTCATGTATGCTGTAAAAGCATAACATATTTTTATTAGCACATTCAATCGATAAATATAAATTTGATGTAGAAAATTTTACATTAGTCTATTTTTTCATAAATAGTAAGGTAAAATTATAGATAGTTACAAAGAAATGAATGAGTTCATTTTTTCTTAAAAATAGTACGGTAAGTCGGTAACATGCACAATACTTTGAAATTATTCACAATTGACAAAAATATTTACGTGCGATACACCCAATTCAAAATCGGAGGTTATGTTTAGTTTTTTCCACTTGAAACTCCTAGTTAGCTAGCTAGGGTTGGATTTTTGAGAAAACAAAAAATAGAATTTATATCTTCCAATTCTGAAGTCCAACTCAAGAAGACAAAACAAATAAGATAAATTCAAAGAGAGAATGCTGCAGCCTGCAGGCGCCCGCCATGGATCACCCTAGCTAGAGTTCCACATCCCAAGGGCACTTTCCCCTCAGTGCAGGAGTAGTACTGCCACCGCTAGCTTTATAGATAGATTTCACTCGCATCGCATTTCAATCAAAACAGCTAGCACACAAATCTCGAAACAGAGCAATGGCAGCAGCAGCAGCCGTTACAGTAGTACTCGCTGTATTAGTCGTCATCATCACCATATCGCCGGGGCCGGTCGCCGCCGAAAGGGGAAATCATACATGCGACTGCGCTGGTTACGATAGCAGCTGCGGGGATTGTGCGGCAGGACGGTGTTGTAGCCCGTGGGGCTACTGTGGAGCCTCTTTCCGTTACTGTAAGCCGTGTTGCTGTGACGATGGTGACCTTAGTAATCCTTGTCTTTGCCTGGCCATTTGCCCTCGGCCGCCGGCTGTTGAGAACCAGCAGCCTCTTTCGGTTACTGGTTATGCCAGCAGTAGTAATGAAACCCTAGTAGTAGCCACCTACGATCCCAACCTTGACAACGTTGCCGTTGCTACTTCATCATCATCGTCGTCATTGGTTGGTTCGGCCACAATATGCAGTGGGCCGTCTTCATCGACTACGGTCTCGACAAACATTGTTCCCGGCGGCGGCGAATGTCTACAGGTAATAGAAATAATGCCATGCATGTACACAGTGATAAGGATTACTCTTAATTATTCATTATTTGTAATTAGTTGTGTTAGTGGTTCCCGTTAGTGGCTAGGTGGTTCCTCCTTTGTAGCTGTGTTCTGTTCAAGAGTAGGTATTTAATCCACTCTCCTAATCAATACAAATCACCTCTTCAATCACTTACATGGTATCAGAGCTAATGCTTGATCCCTTAACCTAAACCTAAAAACAACACAAATCTCTTCCCGCCGCCCCCCCTACCCTTCTTCCTCCACTGCGCATCTCTCTTCCTCCTCTCCCCTTTTCTTCTTCCTCTCATCTGTGCTCATCATGTCTGGAGACACAGTTATTAATCTCAATGATGAAACTACTATCATCACGTTAAACCCCGCCTCTCAGCTCCCTACCAAGCTCACCGGAGACAACTTCCCCATGTGGCGAGCACAACTTCTGACGCTTCTCCGCGGCTTGGATCTCCTCAAGTTCTTGGACGGCACTCATCCACAGCCCGCCGCCACCGCACCTACTGCCGATCGCACCCGCTGGTACAGGCAGGACCAACTTATTCTCCATGCGATTCTCGCCTCCATGTCGCCAGCAGTCTCCCCCTATGTCTCTGCTGCCCAGTCCTCTCATGATGCGTGGGTGACTCTAGAAAGAATGTTCGCCAACCAGTCCCGACAGCGGATTATTCATCTCAAGACCAAGCTCACTCGTGAAACTCAAGGCAATCGCCCAGTCTCAGTTTATCTTCAGGCAATGCGGACCATTGGTGCCGAATTAGCTCTTGCTAATGACCCTGTGTCATCCGAAGACATGATTCTCCATGTCCTCCGCGGCCTTCGCGAGGAATACGGCCAGCTCTCTGCTGCGATTCGTGCTCGCGACACTACCATCGCCCTCGAGGACCTTCATGACCGCCTGGTTGACTTTGAGGCCGACCTTGCTGCTGTTCGTGAGACTCACCTTGTGCCCTCTCCCACCACGGCCTTCTCCTCCGCTCGTGGTCGGTTCCCGGTGCTGCATCGCCCTTCTGGCAGCCCTCGGCGCAGCCACGGTGGCCCTCGCTATCAGCCTGGCCAGCCCTCGTATGGCTATGAGAATCACCCTCGACGTGACTCCAGTCCCCGTGCTCCTCACCGTGGACAACATTCTTCCCGGCAGCCCCCTTATTCTTCCCCTCCCGGCTCCACCCCATCTCTTCTCGGTCGCGTTCCTCTTCTCTGCCAGTTCTGCGACAAACCAGGACACTCCGCCAAAGACTGCTACCATATCCGTGGTCCTCCGCGCGCCAACTACACCACCACCGACTCCTCCGCTGCTGGTTGGCTTGTCGACTCCGCCGCATCCAATCACATGACCCCCGATCTAGGCACTCTCTCCCTGTATACCACCTACGACGGTCCCGACGAGGTGCTTATTGGCGATGGTACAGGTCTGCATATCACTCATACTGGTCACTCCTCCCTCTCTACTTCCGCGGCATCCTTAGCTCTCAATGATGTGCTTTGTGTCCCTGCTCTTAAGCGTCGGTTATTGTCGGTGGCTCAATTGTGCAAATCTAACCCGATATCTGTGGAATTCTTTTGTGTCCCTGCTTCACACTGCTAGTCTTCCTATTCATTTCTGGTCCTACGCCTTCCGCACTGCTGTTTATCTCATTAACCGATTGCCCTCTACCTCTCTCCATGGTACTACCCCATTCTTTGCCTTATTCAACGAACATCCCAATTATCTCAAGCTCAGAGTATTTGGCTGCGTTTGCTACCCTTGGCTACGCCCCTACTCCCCTCACAAACTCGCCCCTCGATCCCGCCGTTGTCTATTCCTTGGCTACTCCCTAACCCAAAGCGCTTACCTCTGCTACGAACCCATCACTAATCGGCTATACACCTCCCGCCATGTTCAATTTGAGGAGCATCTCCTCCCTGGCACTCCACTATCCTCCGCCGACACCACATACACATCCCCGGATTGGGTTGCCTTTACCACCCCACCCATTACAACCATCCGCCTACCCCTGCCCTCCCCTTCCCCACCAAATAGTCCACCCATCTCCCCCTCTCCAGCTCGGCGACATTCCCCCTCCCCTCATGCTGCGTCCCCTGTCGCTACATCCTCCCAACAACAACAACCTCCGCCGGTCCCTCCGAAGCCGCCGCACCGACCTGTAACGAGGAGTCAGCATGGTATTTTTCGCCCTCGTAAGCTTTTTTCTGCGCAGGTCTCTGAAACTGATGCTGTCCCCACCTCTGTCAAGCAAGCTTTAGCTGATCCACGCTGGCGCGCGGCCATGTATGACGAGTATGCCGCCCTTCTTTCCAACCGCACCTGGTCACTTGTACCACGTCCACTCCACCAGCATATTATCAACTGCCGCTGGATTTTTCGCATCAAGAGGCATCCCGATGGGTCGGTCGACCGGTTCAAAGCCCGGTTGGTTGCGAAAGGCTTCACCCAACGCCCTGGCATTGACTTCCACGACACCTACAGTCCGGTTCTCAAACCAGTCACCATTCGCACAGTGTTCTCTATTGCACTGTCTCATCAATGGCCCATCTATCAGTATGATGTGAACAATGCTTTTCTTCAGGGTTCTCTACAGGAAACTGTCTACATGGCTCAACCCTCTGGTTTTCGGGATTCGGCAAATCCTGATCATGTTTGTTGCCTCTCTCGGCCGATATATGGCCTCCGTCAAGCTCCGCGTTCATGGTATATGGAATTATCCGGCTTTCTTGAACAGGAGGGCTTTGTAAAGTCCAAGTCTGACGCATCCCTCTTCATCTATCACAAGGGCGCCGTCACATTATATTTCCTGGTCTATGTCGATGATCTATTATTGACAGGAAATCATGCCCCAACTCTCTCCCGCTTCCAGCAACGCCTTGCTACGCGTTTCTCTCTCAAGTCTCTCGGGGACGTCGGCTACTTCCTTGGTATCGAGGTTCAACCCTCCTCCGGTGGTTTTCTACTCTCCCAACACAAATATGTACTTGATATGTTGCACAGGTTTGGAATGTCTGACTCGCGCCCTGCCCCCACTCCGCTTTCCTCGGCGGCCAAGCTCCAACTCACCGATGGCACTCCACCTGCTGACTCCGCCTTGTACAAACAGGCATTGGGCTCTCTTCAATATCTCCTCTGCACCCGCCCCGACATTGCATTCGCCGTCAACAAACTTTCCCAATTCATGCATGCACCAACAGCAACACACTGGCAGCATGTTAAACGTCTCTTCCGGTACTTAAAGGGCACTGCCACCCTCGGCCTCCGCCTCACCTCCACGTGCACTCCATCTCTCACTGCCTTCGCCGATTCTGACTGGGCAGGTAATCCCGATGACCGTACCTCCACCATGGCCTTTCTCATCTACTATGGCGACAATCTCATATCTTGGAAGTCGAAGAAACAACGGTCTGTCGCCCGGTCAAGCACAGAGGCCGAATACAGGGCACTGGCCCATGCTACATCCGAAATTCTATGGATACAAAATCTCCTTCGCGAGCTACACCAACCACTCTCCGCCCCTCCGACTCTCTACTGTGACAACCTTGGCGCTGTTAATTTCTCGGCCAACCCGATTCATCACTCTCGCATGAAGCATCTGGCGCTCGACTATCTATTTGTTCGCGAGCTTGTCCAATCCAAGTCCCTCCACGTCCGCCACATTTCCACTGTTCACCAGCTCGCCGATTCACTCACCAAGCCACTGCCCATCCAGAGATTTCTTCTTCTCCGTTCCAAGATTGGCGTCGTTCCCTCCACCATCTTGCGGGGGCGTGATAAGGATTACTCTTAATTATTCATTATTTGTAATTAGTTGTGTTAGTGGTTCCCGTTAGTGGCTAGGTGGTTCCTCCTTTGTAGCTGTGTTCTGTTCAAGAGTAGGTATTTAATCCACTCTCCTAATCAATACAAATCACCTCTTCAATCACTTACACACAGTACGTACGTAGCTCCTAAAATGATATTGATCAATGATCATCCTTCCTTGTGGCTGTAGGTAATCAATCCCAAAAATGGAAAACAAGCGATGGTGAGAGTCATAAACAAAAAATACTGTAGCAGGACAAGTTTGGCACTGGACAACGATGCCTTTCAACTGCTAGAAGATGATGATGCAGCAGCAGCCCACCTTCCAGTTCCTGTTAGCTACAAATATACGCACTGTACTTGACAATTAACAACAGCAATATGACATAAAAGAGCTACATCGTCTACCATAACATAAAAGTTCAAATTCTTTTATAGTACAATTTCAATTTATATTTTTAATGTTATCGTACAACTTAAAGTTGTACTTTAAAGCACCAATGTTTTAAAGCATAATAGAAGTGCTCAACCTGATATATGTGTTCTTCAATAATAGTGCCATGCCTATGATTTTTTATTTCTTTATTTTTATTAACGTTTTTGTGTTAGTGGGAAGATGCTTAGCAGTATTATGGATGATATTAAACTTTCCAATTAGCTTGCAAAGTTGGAGATTTGATTTTCATATTTCCAAAGTTGAAATGTATGCAAGGCAAAACTGTTATGCGTTAGTACTTTACACTCGATCTGAACTGGTGGTCCGGAAAGTAAGAAAACAAAAGTTGAGAATTGAAGGATATTTAGAAGTGGAAAGTATTGTTACACCAATTGTTTACCATGTTAATATTGCTAAATATCCGAAACTATGATCAACAGCAGAGCAACTTCTTAATCAAATATTGTTACTCATGGAAGCTTTGTTCTTTCAAAATGCAGAAGTTGTATTGGATTTGGGAGAACCAATTTACTTCTCTTGGGTGTGCACTAGCTTGATAGACTCCTCAATTAATACAGGAGAAGAACACCGATATGCATAGGAATGATCCTCATAAGTTTCCTTTAATTGGCACCGTGTTACTTACTTATGCTATAGGGCTGGCTATTTGGTCCGGACTATTTTGTTTTACCCAAAATCGGATTGTATAACCCGGACCGGGACAGGATAGCAAACAATCCAATCTCATATTCGGGTTTAGATTTGAGGTAAAAAAACCATTTGAGACCGAATCGAAAACCGGATAAGAGACCCCAACACCCAAAACTTAACCAACTCCTCACCCTTGAGATCTCGGGCCACTCAAATTCCCACAAGCTCAATCTAAAATCAAGACCAAATTGGGACCGGACCGGGTCAAGACCGGACTGTATCCAATCCAATCTTTGGTCCTTATATTCCTGAAAAAACCGGACTTTGACCGGATCAATTCGGACCAATTTAACCGGACCAGACCATATAGTCATCCCTATATGTGTTAGTCATCCATCTCTCTTTGATATTTATGTATTTGATGTTTCTATTTTTGGCTGCACCTCTGGCGGCTAAGTGATGCTATACTTGTATAAATTATAACACTAAGTCATTGTTCCTTTAGTACATCATTGTTGTATAAAGTCTGATGTGTATACCGTTGCTTTCTTACCACCTATTATATTTATAAGCATGGCTAATGTTGGTTTCAAAGTTGATTTAATAGTAATCATTATTTACTAATAATTTAAAGATAGATTTCACTATTTTATCTTTCACCTATTATTGGTGAACGAATAGTGTTGTCTCAGATTTGGGTTATATTAATGAACTTGATTTTATTGACCAACAGATTTTCAGTTGATGCCATGTGTTCTTTGTCAATAATGTTTAGTTAATGAGTTTTCTATTTCAAAGCAACAAATCAATTGGCCCGAAAGTAGTCCTCAAAGTCATTGGTCTCTTGCATTTAATAGCAATATAGATGCTACAACTTGATAGTTAATCTTGCTGCTCGCCATAATTTTAGAGTCAATTTGATGGATATGAAGTAATGAGTTCCTCAATTAGAATATTCTTGAGGACATCCCTCTTATTACTTTTCACATTGAGGTAAGGATCACTTCTACTAACCTTGTCATGATGACTTTGAGACTTTCATGCCTCCGCTTCACAGAAATATGAGAGTTGTGTGATCTGAATCATGCATGTTGTTAGAGGTGGCTATACTTTCATTTTGTAATAGAGTTGAGTATCCTAGCTACTTACAATTTCTTTTCTTCGTCTTTGAGATCAAAGTTTGAACAAGCTTTAGTATGATGGGAAAACTATAGTCTAGGATGTTAGGTTCTCCTTTGGGGTTTTGTTGAGTTTAATGAACTATTGTTTAGTAGTGGTAGTGTTATCATTGCACTGATAACGTTACCAGTGCTAGTATCAATGGATTGGTAGTGTTATCACTCCATCTGGTAAGGTTACCATTGCCACCACACCACTCAAGTGATAACATTATCGATACAGTGGTAGCATTTTCAGTGTAGTGATAGCACTACCACTAGACGGGGGAAAAACTAACATTCGAAAAAAGGCAAAATAATTAGATCTGAAAAAACGAAGGGGGAGGAAGAGTAGTTGCGGGGAGATGCGCACAGGGAGAGGCGAGGATGTTGTCAGTGGAGGAGGGCGACTGCTGGAGGGAAAGAGGCAACAACGATGTTAGTGGAGGACGGCAGTGACGCGAGATTGGAATGCGGCAGGAGACCTTGTCGCGGCCGAGAAGAGATTCAACCGGGGGGGGCACAAGGGAAGCGACAAGAGGAGGCATGGGCTGGAGAAGGACAACAGAAGAGGAGGCGTCGGTGGGAGGAGGTCGATGGAAGAAAAGAAGAAGTGTAAGAGAGGAGAGGGGGAGAGGAGAGACGAAGAGTTGGTTGTGGCACAAAGAGGAAAGGGAGACGACTGTTAATGTTAGAGTTCGAGGGGTTTTTTTATTAATGAAGGGCTAATGATTCTATGTGGTAAAAAAAATTCGTCCAAAATACCCTTAAGCTAAATTCATCCATCAATTTAAAAAGGAAAGAAATAAAGTAGATCAGTTATATCTAGTGGGGGTTGCCACCCTAACTCATCCTATAACTCTTTCCCTTTCCCTTTCCCTCCAAACTTTGTCATTTTGCTTGTTCCAATTTTCGAATTAACACTTCAAATTCTGCTCTGCACCTCTGTCTCAAACTAAAAACCAAATCGATCCTCATCTCAGATTTCTAAACAAAGCATGCTTGGTTGTGGATCAAGAAGAGGAGGTAAATCCTACCACTAGGTTACCGAGAATCGAATGGAAGCTTTGCAACGTAGAAGAAGTGGAAGAGTTGAAAGCTCTGTTCAAGGTGATTCTCATTTGCTTAAGGATGATCATTATCACGGTGGCCAACACATCAGGTCCCTTCCGCATTGTACAGGCAAAAATGATATACAGTCACTTTATTGGGAATTTGATGACACTTTATATTTAATGTATGTTACTCCCATTCTTGATATATTTTCCCCATTCTTTAGTCATTTTAATGGTATTTTTTTTGTCTAAATCACAACTATTTGATCAATAAGCTTTTAATGGACCTAGACAATGTTTTTGCACTCTTTGATGCCTTCTTCGTATGTTTTTTTAATGATTTTGAAGGTACAAAGCAACCCAATGAAGATTAGATCAAGCATTGAAGAATTCTGGAGGACCAGATGAGCTATAAAGAGAAGATTAAGGAGCTTTCGTGAGAAAAAAGTGGTCCAATCATGGATAAGGCAACTAGAAGTTTCGACGAGAGGAAGCATCAGCTGGAGGAGGTCGATGGCGAAAGAGAAGAAGCGTCGAGAAGAGAGGGGCAGAGGATAGATGAAGAGTTGGTGGTGGCGAGGAGGGTGGTGATGGCACAAAGAGGAAAGGGAGACGGCTGTTAGGGTTAGTGAGAGGGGTATTTTATCAATGGAGATTTATGAAGGATTAGTGATTCTATGTAGTCAAATAATTCATCCAAAAATACCCTTAAACTAACCTCATCCATCAATTTTAAAAAAATGAAGAAAGAAATAAAGTAGATCCAATTATATCTATTGGGGGTTGTCACCCTAACTTATCTCATAACTCTTTCCCTTCCCCTCCAAACTTTGTCATCTTGCTTGTTCCAATTTCTGAATTAACACTTCAAATTCTTCTTTGTACCTATGTCTCAAACTAAAAACCAATTTCCTCATCTCAGCTTCTTAAACAAAGTATGCTTGTTTGTGGACCAAGAAGAGAAGGTAAATCCTACCGCTGGGTTACCGAGAAGCTAATGGAAGCTTTGCAGCGTCCAAGACGTGGAAGAGCTTAAAGCTTTGTTCAAGGTGATCCCCATTTTTCTTAAGGATGATCATCATCACGGACGGTGGCCAACACAAAATTTCTCTTCCCCATTGTACAAGCTAAAATGATGTACACTCGCTTTATCGGATGACAATTGAGATTATGGTGTCTAGCATCGCCAATTTGACAGTCGGGTGGGTAGAGAATCACCATAGACAAGGCCACAAGGGGCTAGTAATACTAGGTCTGAAACTAATTTGAATGAAATGTCTACAAAATGGCTTATCCCTCAGCTCTGTCTAATGGGTTTGACATATGTTTTTTACGAAATAGGCTTGTTAGACTTCCTCAATGATAGATTTCTGTCTGGTTGTACAGCTGGCATAGTCGCCTCTATGAGTCAGCGCTTAAGAAGTCTTGTGGGGGATGATGTCTTCTTGGTGGTTGAGAGACTTACTAGAATACAAATAACACCAGGTTATCCCTTCGATTCGGACAACATCAATTGGGTGGGAGACGATCCTAATCGAAGCAAGTACGACCGGTACTATTGGTTGTTGGCAGGGTTGAGCTTCCTCAACTTTGTTTGCTACTTTTCTTGTTGCTGGATAAGCGATGACACCTCAGTGCCACCGCCACTCCTCCCATTGAGACAGACCAGCAACAGGAACCAAGGTTGAGTTGGCGGAGGGAGATGCTGGTGGCGAGGAGGAAGCGAAGATTGGTTTGGCAGGGAAATATGCTACAGATTAGGAGGAAAGTAAAACAAATAAAAACTGTTTGCCACTGCCTCGCGTGTTCTTTTTGGAGTAGCTGAAAGAAGCTACCAACAATTTCCATTCTTCATCTTTTATCGGTGAAGGCGCTACAGGAAGGTAACTTTTGTAAGTGCAATTGTGCGTTTGAACCCTTTTAAGATACCATCTTTGTTTGCGACATATGTTTTCTACCCAGGTTTACAAAGGTATATTGGAGAATGGTAACCTTGTCGCCATACAATTTGTGAATTTGTCTAAGAGACAAACAATATGGAACCTCATATTCAAACTCGACCTAC